AGTTTTATATATACACACATTTATATTAGTTAGTATATATATACACACACACACATATACATCATCTACATATATCTAGACACATCTACACATCTGCACACATATATAATCGCTAACAGATATTAATGTATCGCTTATTGCAAGAATATTATATATGGTAAACCAAAGTAATTAATTAATTTACATTACAGTTTAAAATAACTTTTATAAGAAAAAGAAAGATATGTATCTAATGATTTCAGCTATATTAACAGTAATAAGTGTAATATCAATAACATATAAATGAGAAATAAATGATTATATATTTTAAAAGTACAATGCTATAAATTAAATAAAAAATATAAATATAAAATAAATAAATAAAATAAATGTATTAGCGATTCAAGAAAAAAAATAAGTTCAGAAACTTATTTCTCATTTCGTATAAATCTATACATTATTATTAATCCTTTTTAACAAGCAGTAACCATATTTAAGGCACTTGCGCTTACAATTGTTTTGTATTAAGATAAATATAAACAAGAGAAAGAAAGGGAGCAATTAAATTATGTTTTCAAAATATATATATATTATTTCTTATATATGTATTATTTTTAATATTTTTTTATCGTTTATGGCAAATACAAACATTTTGTTGGTATATTTTTTATAAATAATTATAATGTAAGTACACACGACTAAGAGTAGTGGCTTACAAACATTATTGGAAATATATTATACAGGATGTTTCAGGACCCATGGGATAAGCTTTGGTGGATCGTAGATTTCATCAAGAGAATCAATTTTTATCAAGAAACCCGTGTCTTCTGACGCATCTTTAAGGAGTTATGCATCTCTCTTCGAACCGCTTGTGAGGTAGGCAACCATACTGTCGCGTGACAGTATTGCGCATAACGTTTGACAATACTAATCCATGTCCTTTAAATAAAATTTAAAGAAAAAACAACAAAAAAAGCAAAATAGAATCACAGGCGATCCGAACAGGGATGCGTAGTTCTTCAAAGATGCGTCGAAGGACACTAGTTTCTTGATAAAAATTGATTCTCTTGGTGAAATCTACGATCCACCAAAGTTTATTTTTTTAAATTATATATATGGTTGCGACGAACATCACTCTTCTTAACCGCGAATATCAATGTGTGAATATTTCACGAGCTCTTATTTTGCCACATTGCCAACACGTTTTTTACCAAATTGTGAAGCAACAGAACATCTCAAATATTTGTTATCCTTTCATTTTTAATATTTTCATTTTCTTTGATGTGTCAATTTATCTTATATTTATATTTTTTGAAATCTTTTAAAAATGCTTAAAAAAAAGAAGATAATTCAGATTAAAAAATAAACTTAACTTCTGTTATCCACAATGTGTTCATCAAACATAGAATACAATCGCACTTGTTCGATAGAATCGAGATTAATCGTCGACAATCAGTGTGGTACGATAAATTTGCGGAGCCATTGCTCCAGACGCGCGGCGTCTGAAAAAACATCGGAGAACTGTTCAACTTGGGCACTCCCATTTGCTGCTGGTGGCTTTAACGAACGGTGAACGAGTCCATTCGTGATAATTCTTATATGTTCATTGTCCGTAACTGGCGTATAACAGAGCGCTTGACATTGCATAAAGGATCTCTAATTGCGCTGCGAAACTAAATGGTTTCTCTCTTTCTTTCGCGCGCGCACGCCACGAGTAGCAGCTTCTCGATGAACGCGATCTAAATCGAAAATGGGTCGTGTTCGTGTTACATCGACCATGTAAACACACCCTTGAATATACTGCCGAGTATCTAATGGTTTAATACGACTAATGCTTCGCGCTGGAAGATAAGACTTATTGTTAAATTTAGTGCCGTACTTCCAATCGCGTGTAAGCTTTTCGCAATAATTGCCCAAATTATATTATATTTATTTTTCTTTAAATTCCTAAAATATATATTTAATTACGCAATACATTTAATTTTAATTTAATTATTTTTAATTTTAATTTTGTAGATCAATTTGGAATCGAGAATGGGGATATGGTATTTAAACATATCACGCGTAAATAAATGCACTCAAACATTGTTGTGCACTCAAACACTCTTACATATATAAGTAAAGTCCGTAAATATGTTTAAATGAGCAGAAGTTTAACGAAGCAGGAACAAAAAGCGCGTGGAAAGTAACGCGAGCTTTACTTACTGCGGAAGTGATAAAGATGTTTTACTAGGAAAGACGCGTATTTTTTATATATAATTATATATATTTATATTTAATTGTATATAAACTTTCTTCATGCACATAATTAATTTAACCTTTCGAAAGTGAGTTGTTTTACAATGATTAGAGAGAAGAATTGATCGCGGCTGTTCTTGGCGCATCGTATCGGTGTTGTGTAGATTTTTAATTTTTTTTACGTGCACTTAAAGCTTTATCGATCGACGACTTGCGTCAATTTTCGAATTCAATTTGTCTAATGAGACAAATGCAACTTCATTTTCTCGGTGTATGCATTATGTTGATTAAGCTCGTTCAGATCGCGACGATGATCAAAGCAGATCACGACAATAATTGTTTTCGCGCTTTCTCTATTTTTGATACGTATAAAGCAATTAATGAGTTAATATTTGCTAATATTGTTATATTAGTCAGTATATATATACACACACACACATATACATATCTAGACACATCTACACATCTGCACACATATATAATCGCTAACAGATATTAATGTATCGCTTATTGCAAGAATATTATATATGGTAAACCAAATATATAAAGTTATATATCAAAAATTATTATACATATTCGTAAATATATCATCTAAAACAACTTACACAGAATTGTATCTTATTGGTCATTTAAAAAATTTAAAATATTATCGGCTAATGGAAAACGCAGTTGCATTTGGTCTGAAAGAACTTGCATCAGATGGAAAACAATGATGCAACGTGCCACGTATGATTACGTACATAATCCACACCCAAAGTGCAAATCCCAGGAACTTGAAAGGACTATAACTGTAAAAGAAAACGTTGTAAAGGCATAGAATAATACCAAAATTATAACATAAATGTATTTCAATGAGTGACAAATTATAAAGAACTCATGGAATTACATACTCGATAAGCCACACGAGAAATATCCCGCATAACACACTGACGAGAAATGTGTAATTAGCTAAGGATCGTAAACTTAGTCGAGGTGGCAGTCGTTCCTCGCAACCATGGATAAATCCGTTAGGCGTACGTTTTGGTAATTTCATGACCGTGACAGGTGGTGCGATCAATTGCCGAAAAATACTACCAAAGAAGCTCCGTCTATTGTACAGTGCAATGATCTCACGACGATACTGCAAATCGTGAGTTGTTAGATTGACGAACAACAATTGATTGTACATTACAGATACATATATATAATACCTTAAGATTGATGTAGCAGCATAATTTGTAGAAATTTCTAACTAAAAAAGCACATTCGTTCGATCGAATCGGTTGTAGCTCTGGATCACCCATATACTCGATATATCGGCACGTTTGTCTATCTTCTTGCAGCGGTACGAAAGTACCCGGTCTACTTGAGTCAAGGCTAGACTCCGTCTAAAAGTTAATCATATCTTTTTCTAATCAAGTGAAAAGTTTTGATAAAACATATTTTACTAAAAAGATCATAGATAATATTTCACCTGCGATTGATGACAAAAAGAAGTTGATAGAATACTATCGTGATATTCTTGATCTGCCACTATAGCAACTTGTGGAATGTCTTCGAGTTTGATCTGCAATAATCGCGATTGTATGTATGGTATTCACGCTAATATAGATGTGCGATTCGTGTTATAAGTATAAGAAAAATCTAGTTACTTGAAATATATCTATCAGCTGCTGCTGAGCGGTAGCCAAGAGTAGAGGGACGCGTCGTCGTTCTTCTATGCTAATGTCATCTGAAGAATAATCCTCGCCATTAATAAATTCCAATAAAGACAGCAAAAAACGCTTTCCTCTTCTTCTGTTTTCCAAAGCTTCAACCAAACTAGTCGCCGTTAAATGCGCTTGCTTAATGGTACTTAAAAACCATACAACCTATAAAGAAAATCGTAACACAAAATCTAAAAAAACTAATAGTCAATAATAATAATCACTGATTTAGTGTCAAATTAGTATCTAATTTAATCTAAATCAATTTCAGACTAATAATCAATAGATATCCAGAGATGTACGAAAAATGGAAAATACCTGTAAAGTGATAGCTGACGAAAACATAGGTACATATTGATACGTTGGACCTTCCAGCTCGAGAATCTGTTGCCTAACAATCGATGTCCATTGATTGGTAGTTAATCGGCTTTTACTTAGGCCTTCATCCATGCAACTTTCTACTTCACATATCATTTTTGCTAAATGTGGTTGCGAAAATACCTATAGAATAGAAAATGGCAAAATATATTTTCATAACAAATATATCAAGCATAAGAAAATAGTTTATTCTGTCAAAAAAAAAAATGTACATGCCTTTGTAACTCTGAATAACATTAGTGCATTTTTAGGTGCTACTAGATCAGTTCTCATAAATCTTGGAAGCAACTGTTGAAATACAGCCGTATACGCTAATAAATTATTGGCAACAAAAGAAATCCATCTTCCAGTGTCATGAATTTTACCTCTTTCTTCTTCCTCTGCTTTACTGAAAATATTAAAGTGCAAATATTAGCAATAGTACTTTGACAGTATTGACATTAAATATATCTACCCTTCTTTAGTATACGATATTTCAGGAACATATCTCCATGGTTGAATAAAACTCAACCAAGCTTCCAGTATTAATCTAAATGAACTGTCCAATGGCCAATGATATATTGCTTTTCGTAGAAATGTATATATTTTTCCTTGAACTGAAGGAAGAATTATTCTGGCAAGAAAATAGTTTATTCTGTCAAAAAAAAAATGTACATGCCTTTGTAACTCTGAATAACATTAGTGCATTTTTAGGTGCTACTAGATCAGTTCTCATAAATCTTGGAAGCAACTGTTGAAATACAGCCGTATACGCTAATAAATTATTGGCAACAAAAGAAATCCATCTTCCAGTGTCATGAATTTTACCTCTTTCTTCTTCCTCTGCTTTACTGAAAATATTAAAGTGCAAATATTAGCAATAGTACTTTGACAGTATTGACATTAAATATATCTACCCTTCTTTAGTATACGATATTTCAGGAACATATCTCCATGGTTGAATAAAACTCAACCAAGCTTCCAGTATTAATCTAAATGAACTGTCCAATGGCCAATGATATATTGCTTTTCGTAGAAATGTATATATTTTTCCTTGAACTGAAGGAAGAATTATTCTGGCAAGTAAAGATAAAATAATAATATTAATTGTGAGAAGAAATTATATATATACAATATAAAATATTATTATAAAATGTGTATATATATGTATATGTATACTATGTGAATATATTATAAAATATCTTAATACCTCTTCAATTCATCCATAGCACTCTTGTCACCTGTTGCACTATTCGTGAATTCATGCAGCGTTTTTATAAACGCTCTTACAAGGCGTACATGTTCACCAGAATGTATGCTATGCTGAAATTAGAAGCTACAATCAAATATATTTAACAATAAGATAATAAAAATTATTCATATTTTTATTCTGCGGAAATATTTGTTTTTTCATATACTGTAGCTTATTGTTTATTGTGCACAGAAAACTTACTCGCCGCGGTATTGAAGTTAAATAAGATGTATTCAACTGAGTCGTATTCACACGAGAAGTCAATTGCTCGTCCTCTGTATATTCTAACCAAAAATCAAGAAAAACTTGCACTACAGTCTCGCTTCTCCATACTAGCGGTAGGTACTGTTGTTGCGGTACACCTGATCCAGAGCTTGTCGTTCCTGGTGATAATATGGACGCTCTCAGAAGTCTTGGAGTTTGCAATTTATGACAATCTCTGATTGGGATTTAAGACATATAAATAAGATGTATTTACTACTTGAATTTACACAACTTATTTCTCGATATAAAATAAATTAAGTTCCCATACCTTCTGAATTCTGGTGACTGAGTTAATTTTCTTGGTGGAGTTTTTTTGATATATGGTCCAATCATTGGTAAAACAGTAGAATTATCTTTTGGAAGGAAATGATACAAATAATTATGTGCTAATTGAACATAAACTGTTTCCCAATTCATCCATATATTTTCTGGCTGTTGCAGTTGCAACCAGGGATTGGTTAGATGATATGCAAAATGAAAAATATAATATTCAAAGGGATATATATATCTGCATTAAGGAAAAATCAATGTTAATAAAGCATAAAATACATTAAGCAAAGAATAAACCGAAAACACTATGACGTAAAGAATCGAGACATTACTAAGCATTCCTTTGATTTTAGCAGGCATTATTATTATACATAATTTTAATTAGCAGTTAAACTTCATAATAACTATATAGTTTTTGGTAAAGGATACTCATAAATAAAGCTGAAGGAACACGTGTTCCTTGATCATCTCTAATTTTATCGAGATAAAATGGCGATATTACCGCTTCTTCCAACATGGAGCGTATTTTTGACTAAAACATGAAACAATTAAGTTCATAGCTGCAATAAATATAAAACAATATATATATATATATATGCAGCATAAATTTAATTTTTAGACATACTGGAAGATATGATATTGGAAAATTGTACTTTAAATAACAGTCTGGAAGCAATTTGTAACATAAAGAAAACATTGGTCCTTGTGGGCTAAGAAAGTTGCACAGTGCTTCATATTCATGTGGATTCTTCTTCAGTGTAATACTGTGCAAATTCCATCCAATATTATCTACTATTCCAAATAAGGAGTCTATCAATAGAGGAAAGACAAGCTGCAGTTCAGTGGTACTCGACTCATCTATCAACATAGCTAGATTTTTGCATCGTTCTATCAATGGTTCATTTAAATATTTCTGAGCTCTGATCTAAAAAATAATATAGTAAAATCTATTATATATTGATTTCATCATAATTATAGATACTATTAAATATTACTTAAGTATTACTTATAAGGGTTAAACAATTTCTTTTCGATAAATAATTAATATGTACATAATATTATATTTGAGGAACATAATTGATATATTTTACAATTAATGTAATTTGTGTTCATTTTAAAGATTTTTAAACTATTCTGATTTTTTAAGATTATATCTTGCTATTTGTATAAGTCAACTGACATATAATGTACATACTGTAGCAACATCAGTAGAAGCAGCCATTGTTTAGAGATTTCTCGCTTGAAAAAATTATAAAAATCAGTTTTTAAACAATAATAAACAATAATTTATAACACTGTTAATTTATATATCACTTCACACATTGTTTTTATTTCATAATTTTTGTCGGTCTACACCGTAGACATATAAAATACAGAAGGGCTCTTGCACACAGAATCAACCTCACGCTCTTACGGACGAACTGTAAACCGATTGGCTATCGCGTCATCGCGACGCGTCGCTTCTTGCCACGCATGACAATGGCGCGTTCCATGCTCCCACGTGCAAGAGTCCAGAGCAAAGTCTCCTGAGATGAGACAAGAATTTGCGGATATTTACCTTTATTATTTCATGCAATTTTTTGATATAATTATTTTTGTAGGTGTAAAACCAGATTTTAACAGTAAAATATATATTAAAAAGCAATATTTTTCATACAACAAAATATTTTAAACAAATATAAACTTGACGCTTTTTTTCCCTTTTCTTGAAATTTGAATATACATACATGTATCATGGAAAATTTCTTATAACATTATGATGTTATATATTTGTCTTTTTTATTATTACATATTTTCGATTACAAAAATCCTGACAAAATGACACATATTCCAAAATATATAAATAAAATATCTCTCTAAAAAACGCTTTAATGTTTTTTAAACATCTTAGAGATCTTTTGACCTTTTTGTGCTATCTGGGATTTATAATCTTTTGTATGTGGGTAAAAATGGCACATAAGATGTCCATTTCCACCTGAAAGATATTAACTATTATTATTATCTACGCGCAAAGATGCGCATACAAAAATAAAATTTATATTATAATACCTTCTTAGCAAGTTCATTCCAAACGGAAAATCGTATGTGCTCCGGACGTATTCGATGTTAGACATTCCGTCAGCTTTTTTATCAACCGTGCGATCCGTCAATTCCATTTCCTTCGCCCAATCCTCTAATCCACGTTCTTTTGCATTACCTTTTAATGTTAAATAAATAAATAAATAATATATTTGTTAGAAAGTCATTATTTCCATTTCATTATAAATAACATACCTGGAATAATATTATCCAAAAAACAACCTAAAGCACCACCCACCAGAATAGTGGTGCTGAGCAGTACAGTTAATACACTATCTATTATAGCGCTTCCTGTTTGTATTATATCTGGATATTTGATCAACCATTTCGATAGAACCTGAAAATGATCGGATCAAGATATCATTTATCCATATTTATTATCTAATATATACGCCCACAAAATTACATAAGCAAAAACGTTTATGCATAAATAAGGAAAAAAAATATATATGCAAATATATGCAAATATATATGTATATGTATATGTAAGTTAATGCGTATATGAATAGTGGAAATCGATAATAATCAGTTGCAATCCCGAGAATGTACTCACCAGAGGGAAAAACATGGACAAGCCCAAGATGAACAGATTTCTCGAAGAATTGAGATTTATATATTGCAATGCCGACAGACCTAACGAGGAATTAGATTAGAAATAATAAAATATAAAAAAGAGAAACAATAGATTTAAAAACAGCAAGCTTTGAATTATTTATCTAAATATTTTAACTTTATGTATAAGTACTGGCTCTTTTTAATGGTTTAAATATACACACACGCACATATATAAAAACTTACCAAAAGCACAAATCATCCCAAACATTACGCAAAATATTCCGCCTATTATCGGTTCGGGAATTATGATAAACACCGCACCAAACTTGCTGATTACACCTTGTAGGATCATCAAGATACACGCCCATTGTATTACTCTGCGACTACCAACTTTGGTAACTCCTAATTATTTCCCCAAATATTATATTAAATGATAATATTATATGATTTACGATTATAAATAAATAAAAATCAATTCTCAAATATATGATTATAAAACGTAAGCAGTAAACAAATAAAAAATGTTGATTTGCTTACAGTTACAGTTACCGTTACAGTTTATATTTTTTTACCGATTTAGGTCGACGGAAAATTCGCTTAAAATAAAATTGTCTTTTACCTATCGTGCCGACGTTCTCGCCGAATGTATTCGTACCGTTACCGCTACCCCAAAGTCCGGCCAATATTGTACCGAGGCCTTCCATACCGATACCACGATTGATCGCGTGAATCGGCGGCGGCGGTGCTCCTAGAAATTACGCAATAAATTTTATTAGATCACGTTTTAATATACGCGCATTTTCACTGAAATGTATTTCTTGTTAATAATTATTATATTATATATTGTTAATAATTATTATATATATATAAAATTGTGGCTCTAAAGCGAATATACTTACCGCACATTTTCGCGGTAGTTGGATAGTAACTGATAGACTCGACCGTGCATGCTAATACTCCCGCTAGCATACCGAGTACCCCTGATAACGTTACAGTGGGCATGCCCCACTGTCCAGGATACGGTACTCGAAACCATGGTGAGTCGCTTATTATTTTTAATTTACTATCGGACCTGGCAGGATGACCGTATGGTAGCATATCGGTCACCGTTAGTATAGTGCAAATTATCCACATGATAATTATTGTTAATAAAATCTACGAATGCAAAAAATTATTATTTATAGTTCATCAGTACAATTTAAATATACGTGACATATACGTGAATTCTTCATCTTATACAATTTTGATTGGATACAAAATTTTCCTTAGGTTTATATAATATGTACGTATGTATATATATATTTTTTTACAGCAAAAAAAATAAAGTCATAAGATTAATGTCATCATCTATATCACGATGATTCATGTTATCACTGCAGAATTCACAGGATCTTTTTTGCTTTGTATTTACCGGAAAAAGTTTAAATAGTTCAAACCAAATAATTTGGAATCCTTGGCCTTTACGATACATTGGAAACGGAAATGGCACGTTAATCATTATTTGAGAGCATGTCGTTAGCAGTATTATTGTTCTAAAAATATATGCAAGAGATTTTCAATATTGGATATTATCACAGTAATAGTTTATATAAAGTGTTCTCAAGCTTTTTCGTAAATTATGAGAGACATTACCCAGCTGCGATACCCCAGTGCTGAGACGCGGCATCCGCTGCATTTTCGAACAAAGACAGTCCAACTAACGAAACTGTCGGCACTATTGTCAACGGGGTTATAAATTTCAGCAAATATCCGACGATACCTAAGCACGCAATTTTAATGTATCACGTTAAAAAAAAGAAAAAATTATGTACATGATAGATTTGGCAATTCAAGTCACCTCCAAATCCGATTATTACTTGGAATAGAGCGGAAACAGCAATGGCGCCCGACAATTCTCTCATTCGAATTTGCCACAGCTCAGTCCGATTCTCGTGGGACATCTGATTTAAGACTTCCGGCACGGGGCACTGCCACTGCGGCAGGTTCAATATCGCTAGAGTCGGTACTAAAAATGATATGGTACCACCCTGTACCAATGGCAACCTATTGCAAAAATCCGTTTTTTTCACATAAATTTTACGGTATTTTTATCAGTATTTCTCAAATAAGATCAATCAATATAAAATTTTATTATTATGTGAGCTGTAATAATTAGTATATAATCAGATCATTTTGCAACAGTCAATTTTATATTTTGTCTTGTATGATAATGATTGTACATACCTACATCCTACAGTAGTCTGAAGAAATGTCACCAAACCGGTGACAAAGATCATCGTAGAAATAATATGACTTCTCGCAGGATCATCCTCGGCCATGCAAAGAGCTGGCGTTAAAATGAAAGGGATAGAAACGATAGCGCCGATCATAGTTAAGTAATGCTGTAGAGTATATTATTAAGTAATATATCTCATATAAAATATAATATACGTAGAATATATATAATCAAATACTAGAACAATACAGACGCTTTTTTTACGGACATTTTCCAATTTTTGTAACTTTTCTTTCCATATATACATATATATAAATCTAAACTTTTTAATAATCCTTTTATAAAATCTAGTTTCATTAATTTAAAAAAATTACATTTTTTTATATATATATACAGGGTGTATCTGAAATGATGCACTAAACTTTAGGAGCATATTCTAGAGGTCAAAATAAGACTTTTTTTCCTATGAACATGGGTCCGTAAATGAACCCTCCTCCATATACTGTATGTATATGTATATTAAAAGTAATAATAAAAATTAAGATTGATAAAAACGATGTTTAAAAAGAAAACAAAATATTGTTTTTTTTGTTTAAAACATGTTTTTAATACTTACATATTAAAATTTAGTTAAAGTTTAAATATATGCTTATACCTGCAGTGACATAAATAAACATAGATACCATGGCGGTATATCGTCGATGCCGTAGGTGATGTCAAGGTTTCTGTTTTTATCTCTCATTGTTTTCTTTGGTATTGTTACGACCGTCGAATTTTCTATCTCCTTAAAAATCAAAGAATATATAATTGAGCAAAACACTATAAAATTAGTAGGTTTTAAATACCTCGATGAGAATATCGACAAGAAACTTACACAGATATCGAAAAATATTATTTGTTATCAGAATGTACTCACATACAAAATTGGCCCATAAGTAACCAGTTTATAAGATTCAATATCAGTGACAACAGTATAATAAAAGTATCATATCATATTTATCTTTTTAATAAATTAATTGGTATGCTTAAGCTGGTAATAAATGATAACACAGGTTGAGAAAAAAATAGAATGAGACATTATCCAACCGCGCAATCATCTAAATGAAGATACTGTAAATTTCAAAATTATTCGTGAATCATAAACGTCACTAATACTAGCGTACACGCGACACACAAATACGCGATTATCTTAAATATAGTCTGAAATTGGCCAACATTAAATCTTTATATTTCAAAAACTATTTCTTGAAATAAAAAATGGCATATGCTTTTATTACTTTATTTTTCTCGAACTTTCATCCTCTAATCTTATTGTCCTCGATTTTCGGGATATCCTATATCTATCACGCGTACATTACTGATGCATATCATATACTTACTATATATACTGATAATATGCAACATACTGATAATATATGATAGATAAAGAAAGAAAGAAGAATGCGCGCGTATCAATCATATAATTTTTGGAATTTAGGGTTTCGAATATATATAAACATTATAAAATAAGCTATATCTCTCATGCAATAAAGTTTCCTTAAACTTGGGACCTTAAATTTTCCGTTTCTATCATTCTAAAAGGCCAAAATTAATGAGACTCTACTGTATTTTACATATTCACATTCCTATGTAACGCCTAAACTGTGCTCAATTTTCATCTTGTGTTGATGTTAATAACAATAATAATGTTCACACCGAACAAACAAAACTCAAATTTAGAAAAGAAATTATCACATTTGAGGCCTAGATACGCTAAACACTTGGTGATAATAAAAGCATACGAAACCATCTTACTATTAGATGGTTATTAACAAGCATATTAGGAAAATTCCATTGCTTACACGAGATATTATAACTTATATCCCTGCTCGCTTTGGAAATAATATTAGTATAATAACTAAAACATTATCTCGTGTACCGACTCAATTAGATTCATTACAGTAATATAAAAATTATTCTGTAGCTTTGTTACTTGCAGCTGTACAAGCATTAATATTTGATAATGTAGGAATAAAAGTAAAATTTTTCAATATTTGTGTATGTAAGGTTTAATTAATATTGTTTACACATACATACACACAAACACACACACACACACACACACACGTGTGTAATCTTTATCAGGAGCGCTATTCTGTACATGCTACCGACGATTGTCGGTGTCGTTATGTGTTTTTTACCTGCGCAAAGACACCGATAATTGTCGGTAACATGTATAGCGCTTCTGAAATAGAGTTTATGCAAATACTTGCTTACAATTGACGATATATAATATCGGCAAAAATTGTCATTTATTGTTATCTATCTATTATTTGCAATTTATCAATTATTTGCAATTATCTGTTGTATTAGCTAATAAGAGTGTTTAATGTTGTTTAATGTGTTTTTGTTTATATAATTATAAAGTGAAAAATTCTCTCTTAAAGTTTATCTAAAATTAATTTAAAATTATGTAAATTAGTTGCTCTCTTTAAAGCTTTATTCGCGAAGAAACATGCAATTTTATGATAGCTCATTAAAAAAAGCAAATAAAAAAAGATGATATTTCTGATATCTTAATTTATACAGCACGGAACATTTCAATTACATTGCAGCAATATTATAATCTTGCAACATAATATTGTAGAGACATTGTAAGAGCATATAACTCTCACTTTCTATCTCTCTTTCTCTCTGTTTCTTCTTATAATATTTCATGAAAAATGTTACAGCAACATTATAGAAACATTACAACAGAACAGTATTCAGTAATCGTTAATTATTTGTTCGTTTACCACAATGCGATGCATTATACGTTATCTATCTCGTATTTATATTTTAGAATCATGAGAACTATATAAAATTTGCAAAGAACGACTAATAAGATTAAAGATGTAATAATTATTTCTATCAATTTAATTTTTCTGATACAATCTCAACACAGGCAGTTCATACATTAAACTGATTGTTCAGAAACGTCGGACAAATAAATGAATGACAATAATTCATTTATTATTTACTTAAAATGTAGAGTTTAATTTCCATATAAAAATAAAAATTTGATTTTAATAAATAAAAAACTATTTAAATTTAATTATTTTATGCAAAAAACCTTTTTTTATTACAGATAACTCACCATTTGGGATATTTGTACTTCGTTCTCCAGTTGCATTTTAATAAGAAACACAGCACGATATTCCGATGAACTCGATCGACCGTCCTATACAAGAAAGTCTCACAAAGATTCGTCGCAAGAGAAAATGCGGCTCACGTTCAAATGCGTCCAATACTTATGTGTCAAAATATGATCGAGCGCGCGATCTCTTCTTATATACACATATGCTCTCCTACTATCCGCCGTCTATATCTGTCACTTCTATTAAGTGATTATTAAAAACGAATTCCATGACGCAATTCATCCGAGTAACGCTCGAGAAAACATCGATGAATAATGCAAACGGTGATAATTCGTATATGAATGATAAAATATTACCTCTACAAATAAGAGAAAACCTGCAAAAAGTGAGAAACGCAGATAATGGAGCGGAAAGAATTATATTTAAAATTACCGATTGCGAATTGCAACCAAATGTAAGAATTAAGACACGAATGATTTCTTTTATCTTTCTTTCAAAATGAAAATATTTGCTTCTCTAAGAGTAATCAGACAATACAGTTATTAATTCTTAAGAATTATTCAATATAATATGTTTCTCTTTCAGTGTCACGCTCCAGATTCTATGTTTAATTTAAAATAAAATAAGTATATATTTAAGAGAGAAAGAGAGAGAGAGAGAGAGAGAAAGAAAAATTTAGTAACATATTAATTATATGAATATTTTTTAACAAACAATCATGATCAATCAGTAAGTAATACATGTTTTTTAATACGCTCGAAAATTCGTCTCGAATCAATAAGAGAATTTTGCAAAGAGATAGATATTAATATGTAATTCGTAAAGATAAAAAAAAATAATATATAATATATTTTGCGAAGAGGTCGCGCAGTAATGCAGTTCACGAGCAGTAATGCGTCTTAAAACGCTCGAAAATTCATTTCTGAATTATCAGGAAAATATATTTCGCTAAGAGGTCGCGCGGTAATACAGTTCACGAGTGGTAATGTGTCTTAAAACGCTCGAAAATTCATTTCTGAATTACCAGGAGAATATATTTCGCGAAGAGGTATGTGAAGAGATTCGCGCAAAAGGTGGTGGGGACTGAATCCATGAGTACTTCGCACTGATTGGTTGACGGGCGACTATTAAAAAAGAACTATACTAGATCAATTCACCCACGCAAATCGAAATTTCGTGACTTACGCGAAACATATTCTCCTTATATCTCATAAATGGATTTTCAAGCGTATTAAGACATTTCTGTTTCGAACTGCATTACTTTTACCTCTTCGCAAAATATATTTTTATTGTTATACAGTCAAAGTTCAGGAAGTTCAGTGTTCAGCTACAAAGAACAAACCTTAAGCCCGTATCAAACTATGCATTGAGATTGAAATTTGACCAATCAGGACAAGGAAATTTTAGTTCCTTTTATCCTGATTGGTCAAATTTCAATCTTCAATATGTAGTCTGATACGGGCTTTAAGGCTCTTATAGGACACATCAACGTGTTGAGACTAGCCGTGTTCCGTGTTCCGATATTCATATTCACTGCCAGTACTGAAAATCTATAGTTTACGTCACATATACTATAGATTTTCAGTACTGGCAGTGAATATCGGAACACGGCCACTGTGTGCAAAAAACTTTAATGATCATCTAAAAACATGGAGGTTTGGTGGCCCTGACAGCAAACGTCTGCCGCTGTGGTTGCTTATTTGTAAACTGTAACCTATTAATTTTATCTTATATATAATAAGTTGTTAATTATTGCGAAATTTACGAACAAACTTACTCGTTCGCTTCTATTAAGAATATTTAAACGCCTAACGCACTTGTCACATTTGTGCGACATGGACGAGTATGAGGAATCTTCGGACGTTGAGATGGTGCCTATCGAGGAAATAGATAGAGTCAGAACAATTCCAACAGAATTACGGGTAAGACAAATTATATTAATCTTAATCGATACTTGTTGTTAATTAATACCATTGTAAAAAACTCAGACTATTCTATATAGACTCAAATGCAAACATTAGACAGCCACTATGAAAAATCCATGAACACATTTACAACGGGTATAGATATATTCAGCAAAGAGGAGAAATTGAAGATGGAAGAACGAGCGAAGCGTTTTGGCTTATTGGAGAAATTCGAAAAATCGCCGAATCAAGAAGAGAATTTATATAGCAGGTAAAAAATAATTTGATATGGAACAAGAGCGATTAATATGACTATATATTATATTTTGCAGTATGGGCATCACAGATGATGGCGAGAATGCAAAGAATGCCAGATTGAATGTAATCCATATGAGAGGAACGGAGGAAATGAGTAGCAAAGATGTGTTTAAATATTTCCAAGATTATGCTCCGATGTCTATTGAATGGATCAATGATGTTTCATGTATGGTTTAAAGTTTGATTTTATTCAAGAAACACCTATGATGATATATCATTTATGATTGATGTTAATTTAATATATAATTCATTATATTACAGGTAACATAGTCTGGTTTGACAATTTATCAGCAGCCAGAGCTATGCTAGGATTATCCAAAAAAATTGTAGGTAGTGTTGTGAAATGTTCAGATCGAGAAAACAATTCCGAAAATAGGAAAGACAGTGAAGTGACAGTACAAGCAGAAAATGAGTCTGTTGATGTAGATAAGGATGGAAAGAAAGAGAATTGTGTAAGCATTAAAGACATCGATTACCCATTACCTCCAGGTATATGGAGGAAGGGAGTGGATTATCCAAAATCTAAAGGAATCTTTCTAAGATTTGCTACTAGGATGGATAAAAAGCCTGTCAATGCGGAAAAGAGAAGTGAATACTACAAAAAGCATGGAAATCCCAACTTTGGAGGTAAATTTGTATGCAATTCTGCATAATAAAAATAAAACTAAATTAAAATCGATGAGAGCAAAGATGACAAGATGGTTTTGTTTTTATGTGCATATTCTCAGGTCTTAAAGGAATTCTAACAGAGTCTCGTAAACGTATGTACAAGCAGATCCAACAAAATAAACACATGTTATCAAGTGAAGATGAAGATCAAAACAAAACGAAAAATCCGTGGGGTGCATTGTCTGAAACATGGGGTTTGAATGATGTTGTGGAGGATGACTTTCTTCCAAAGAATGGCGTTAAAGAGCCAGTACGTGGTATAAAGGAGAGATTGGGTGTCAAATGTAGGGATAAAGATGCCATACGAACGGAAGACTTGGAAGAGACTAGTTCGGGTAGCGATAGTGACGAGAATTGGTGTAAGCGGAGTAAAATTCCTCGTATGCGAATGCACGCCGACGATGAGGAGGAGAAATTACAAAAGCGACGTGCGAAGCTCCGATATCAAGTTAGTTATTTTCTTTTTATTGGAAGGATATTTTTCTTTTACTTTTTTCTATAAACAATTATCCTTTCCTTTAGATGGTTCTCAACAATTTAAATAACAGTGGTGACTTACGATCGAAATTGGGAAGACCAAAAACGAAAGCGCAGTTTCACGATCCTATTCAAGTAGTGGTCACGAACACGAACCTAACGAAATCGAAACATGATAATTCTGGAGTAATCCGACAAGATTATCAGAAAGAAACACAATTATCGGAAAAAGAAGAAGGAGAATGGCAAGAATCGGAAGATGAAGACAATCGGGCAGAAGGCAAGAAAGAGCAAAAGTATGGACAATGTGCATTGATGGAAGAGGAAGAGAGAGAAGAAGAGGAAGAGGAAGAAGAAGAAGAAGGTGAACACAAGGAGGATGAAGAGGATAGTGGTGAAGACAGTGTTGTACCTGCAAAAGAGATTCAAGGTCCTAAAGGAAGCGTGATAAAGGTAGTCCCACCCAAGCCACGCATTGCTTCCACTGTATGGGCAAGATTAAATCACACAAAAAGCGAAACAAGTGATAGCTATTTGAAAAACAGGTAACAAAATAATTTTTTTTATTTATTAATCATAACTCGCGCATTTTCTTTCCCTTCCTCCTTTTCTCTCTCCCCTCCCTCTTCTTTCTCTCTTTTTCTTTCTGCCTCTTTGCTACATATCCTTTTGAAATCAATTTTGCACACATTGTAATTTATTATTATTATATTATTATTTACTTATATTATTATTATATAAGTGTTCATTGTTTCTGACTTATGAGAGTTGTATTTCTTAAAGACAATCGACGAGCCGTGACTTGAGAAATACCTTAAAGGGCGGCGACTTGCGCTCACGTATCGGGAATCATACCAGAGGACGTTCTCCATTGAGAATAGAAGTGAAAAATGATAAATATACAGAAGACAATAGTGATGGAGAGTGATTCTTGCATGAACTGATTGTTTAAACTTTAAAAGTTTGAAATTTGTAAAGAGTGCTCATTATCTTAATGTATTGTTTTAAGACTTCCTTTTTTCATTGGCTACAAATTTTCAGTGGAATACAAATTATATATATATATATGCAATTATATATAATTTATGCGCTCTCGATTATAATGGAATCTTTTTCATCATTAGAAAAGTTTTCTTTTTATGCGGATGCATAGTGGAGAGAGCAAGGGAAAAGATATTAATATCTTTAGAACTCTTATTTTTTATACTGTACAACCAATCTTCCAATAATAATCATTATCATTTCTATATTTTTATCATGAGATAATGAATGCTTTTAATGATAGTTCATGTAAATTTGACAAATCATGTATCTATAAATTGATGTATATTTCTGCAGATAGAAAAAAAAAACAGACAACTAAGTACTTTGATCAAGTCATTTGCGTAATTATAGAAAAAAGAAGTAAGAGATTTTTCGAAGATATCACTTTCAATATGTTATCCTGAAGCGTAAAAAATATACTTTTTACATGAAGTAAATCGAAGAAAAATGGATAACAATAATTTTATAGCTTTCTGAAATAATCTCGAGATATCTTGTAAAGATAATCCCAATAATCCGAGAGTATGGTCAGATTGGTAGATAATATACTCAATATCACTTTGAAGAAAAAAAAAAAAAATAACTCTTGTGCATTGAGCTATATTCACTGTCTTTCGAATATATTCTTGTGAAATCACACCGGCATGATCAGAACTATCACCTACATGAGAGTGTCGTGTGATGTATTTATAATTTATTAAATAAGATCTTATTTTTATTAGTTCAGCACGAGTGTAACATACTAAAACCAAAAAAGGGATATACGAATGGCGCAATAAAGACATCAAGTAATTGGCCAATAAAGCCATTTTTTATATATTAGCACAATAATAGTTTGGAATAGCTATTTAAAATACAATAGTCGATAATGATAATTTAATTAACACGAATTATGATAATCCATCTCGGATAACAATTATTTGGAGCAGCAAATCGAGGTAATAAAGAAATCGGGTAAAGAGAACATAGTAAGTACATTTATTTTTCAAATAGCTCTTTAGCTACATTCATAGTTTATATGTTTCTATTTATGGTTTCTTTCCTGTGTCCCATTATACTTTCAAAAACATAATATCTGTGTGCAAATTAAAGCAATTATATTCAATAGTAGATCTCAAAATAATTCGTTTCCCGTTTTTACGACTGTTTCAACTTTATCACGTTTTTTAACAACGACCTGCGAATAATTATACATGTTGTAATTATCAAATTAATAATGTATTGAAAATTATGACTTAATTTCATTCAATTATCTTTTTCCGCACACATTTTAAAATCTATCTGCTTTCTCTCAATTTTCTTTCTGCCTCTTTATCAAATTTGTATTATTCATGAATTTTATTTACGCTAAAATCTCCGAACAAATTGCAAATTTGATTACAAAAAAAGAGCAAGCAACAAAATAGTTTTATGGCAATTATAAGACTAGAAGTTATTCAACTACAATCATATTAAATGCATTTATTCGCTTTAAACACTATGAATGTAACTTCAGCGAAGAAAAAACTATCGATGACTCACGGCGACACAATTAAACGGACAAGATGATATCTTTCACGATTCACGATTGCCGTTAGCGAAGGATCAAAACAACAGAGAATCGAGGATAAAAATACTTTACGAGGAAATTCTGGTTTTTCTTGACGCATCGAAGATAAATAAATTAAATCGTTTGTGTATATATATATATATATATATATATATGTATATACCCTGATGGAAATAATTTTACATCTTTTCACGCGAAAATGATGTGGAAGCAATTTTGTTTGATGTAACTACAACTTTTTAAATTATTTCTACGTAATTTTTAAAACTACACGATTTGGACAATGTTTGTAGTTTTTCATAAATTTACATAGATAATTTTCTACAACTATACGTTACGTAGTTTAGTTGTTTTTTTAACGATATTTTGAAATTCACTACAACTTATCATGAATTTTTATATTTTCAGAAAATTGTGATCTGTTGTTGAAAATTTTAATTTTTCGTAGAAATACGTGAATTGTTGTAAAATTATTTTCACAAAGGTAGTTTTATACTTTTATGTCCCAAATGTTATCTTAAAGCGACGCTGGGATAGTTGTGTGACAGTATAAATAGATCCTCCCGCGATGGTTTGCTGCACACATCTGCATATGTTTGATCGACGCACGTGTGAAAAATGCCGATCTTGCCCGTCGTTAAGAGGCGGTCGTGTGGCTTTTTTTCTCAAAGTTCTTTCATTCTATTCTACGTAAAAACGCTAATGATTTTTCACCCATCATTCGTTTACGAAGACTAACAACAGTCGTTCTATTTCTTGAGGAAATAGTGCGTAGATCTTTACTTTCTCCTGTCCCCTTTTTCTCCCTTACATTTCAATGATATAATCGTCGATCGTAACATCGAAAATCGACGGACGAAATGTTCGGATATATGTATAAGAATCGGCAACAACAACAAGTACACGTATATAACTTTAAGTATATTAGGCCTGATGATATTGATAATATTTTCATCTACATATACATAGGGTGTTTCAGAAATAGATGGCTAAACTTTAAGAGTATATTTTGTATTTATTGTAATGATAAAAAGTCATGTGAATGTCGGTCTGGAAACGCTTCCTTTTCGCATTTATAATTCGAAAAAGAAGCGTTTCCACACCTGTTCATATGATCTTTTTTCATCATCTAAAACACCCTCTGTCTATGTGTGCGCGTGTTGGGTAATGCGCAATATTCTGCATTTGCAATGTTGGCGCTTTTCTAATTTTTATCATTTGTATCACAATTTATATATTTAGTACATATCCAATTATCATTGACAGGAGCATCTTTGATTTCTCGTCGGCTTACATTTTTGCTGAACGCACGATTTTATCGTAGCTTTCCCGCGATTTGCAGTATGAAAACATTTTTGCAAAAGGCCTCGGAATGACCACCACTTAAAAAAAAAACTCGTCTATTATGTACAATATCTCATAGCCTGCTAAATAATATCAAAAGACTCCATCTTTGTGCTTTAGGATTAAAAATTTTTAACAAGCACAGCAAAAAAATAGTGTTTAATATATATATACTAAATATAATATACACATATATACTAAAAATATGTACATATCATCGTAAATTGTCAAATGGTTCTCTATGGAGATAAATCAAGAGATCGTAAAAGGCTATATACGCAATATAATATTTGTGAGTTTTTAGAAATCATTATTACAACAAAGTTAATTATATTAAAATTTCATTTCGTCGAAGAATCGTATTAGAAACAGGAATATATATCGAAAATTATTTGTACTCGAATTTTTTTTCATTGTATGTCGAATATTCATATGGCAAAGGCAGCGATCCGTCTAGAGCGCAGGAAGAAAAAGATATATATTTATTTCATTTAGTTACATACACAATAAAGAGTGTTTACAAGGAATCCACCATTCCCAAGAAAATCTCTAGTACGTCGTAACTAATTTAGAATTTATCGCTACAAAGGATTGTCGTCATTATATGAACTAATGATTCTTTTCCCAAAAAAAAATTATGTACTTGTGAATAGAACTACTTGCAACCGTCTACATAATTTGTGCGCATTGTAATCAAGGCTTGCAGTGTGCGAGAAAAGTGTAAACCGCGAGAGATTCTTTAATTCTTTTTATACACGATAATATTTCGCCATTCGAATGCGCGTAATTGATAAACGTCGAAGGAAGATAGATTAAATCGACAGAAATTGATAAATCATGACATTGTGATAATATTATAGAATGTTATTCGCTATTATATATCTGACATCCTTTCGCACGTTAACAGACGAAGAACGTCAAAACGATGTGCGAATCATCCTCCACAAAAATCCGTAATTACTAAAAATGCGTCTTAAATCTAGATAAGAATCTCTTACGAATCTTTCTTTAATTATCAATTTATTGGATGCATCAAGAATGTGAATTCGAAGAATGTGAACATCGGTAACAGTTAATGGAGGAAGTAAATATCTCTTCCCTGATTTTCTTTCGTCTTTTCTTTCGCCTCTTTTTTTTTTAATTCTCGCTCAATATAGTGGGAACACAACCGGAGGAAATTCTTTCCGTGGAAGAAAAAATCTTTCTGTTCGACAAAACCAAATAAAAATGTCGATGTTATCAGTTGGCGGTCTCGATTTCTAGTAATTCAAATTGACTTTATCGCGGGTAAATTTTTAAATTGTAATATCAGCTCTGGAAGAAGCTTTTAAACTCAAGTAAGGTTCATATTTCACATAAGATTTTTAAGATCTCCGAATGACAAAAATATTAACTTTGGAGCTTTTTCTCAATGTTATCTTAATTATCGCTTTATTCGTATCTTATTATTCGGGCACCATCGTTACTGTCAATGTACTGTGAATTACACGTTTAGAAAAAGAGAGAGAGAACGAGAGAAAAAGAGATCACGATTCTTTTCAACACATCAATTATATTCTATTAACCTCTCGTACGCTCAATTATAGTGGCGCCTATACGTCGCGTACTGGCTATAATGGTTGACTATCACGGACAGATTAAATACCAAAAGGAATTCTGCCACACACACGTGTACACACAGTCATACGTACACACATGAGACAAAGAACATCATACGAGATGAATTTTACACGAATATATGCTATAAGCGCCCAAATCTCGGTCTGGAATAAACGTTTATTACGTTTAGAGTTGAATCCGATATCTAAACCAGGACCTTCGCATCGAGGCACGAAAGGTCGAATGTATATTGCCCTGATTATGCCGTATAATTACGCGATATAATCGTAACTATTTCCCGCTTCCGGAAAGGGATAATTCCATAAAGAGAACGATAATATAAAGACAAAATATGTCGCGTGTTACATCTCGTCACGCTCGCAATTCACAATTAAATCACAGACAGACGGTATGGTACGGTGCAGTACGATACGGCGATGATATAAATAAAAATACATATTGTACCAATTGTGAAATATTATGCTATGTTCGGTATAACGTAAGAAACACTATATTCTCTTTCTTCTGGTAAGAACATGCGAATGTACAAGCGTATGTACGATTGCTTCACTCACCCGATTAATCGGTTCGATTAATCGTTCGTTGATCGCTGAACTACATCTTTCGTCAATATCCTAGCACTTATGTCTCGTCATTAATTAGAGCAGCGATAAAGCGGCGAATTAAAAATACGCTTTCTTTATACCAATTCCGTTGTTCTGCTTGTTGTTCTTTTTCTGTTTTTTTTTTTCTTTTCCGTTCAATTATCACGCTTATCCACTATTGAAATTCCGGCAACAATATGCCTGATAGGAAAAAGGAGAAGAGCACTCGATTATCGATAGATCATGAGATCGACAATTCAGGAGAAGCTGCACTTAGTACTCACCAATCGACTACATAGCGTTTTCTTGATGATTCTTTTGAAATAATAAGGTTTCTTCAAAAATATACTGTTTTAATACTTCTTTTGGGAGATCATCCAACTCCATGTCAAATTTAAATGGTTCCTCTGCTACAGGCTAAACGAAATTTATATTAATTTTGAATATAAATTGTCACAATAGTAACATTCCATAATTGTAATCTTACAGCGAATAGAGCTTACCTCATCGGCAGGATCATAATATTGCTCTAAATAGGGATGTGCCAGCGCGTCTTCCACCACGATGCGTCTATTGGGATTGAACGTTAGCATTTTGTCCAAGAGATCCAAAGCTCTTGGATCAGCATTGGGAAAAAGACTCGTCCATGCTACCTTTGGTTTATACGGCAAAGACTGCAGGTAATTGCGTGCCTGAAATCAAAGCGGTTTAATGCCACTGAATAAAATGCAAGTCAATGAGTATACGAGTTGTATTGCATAATGCATTTGCAGGATTAGATTTTAATAAGATGCAAAGAAGCATAAACGTAGGCGTAATGCAGTACTTTCTCGTTTATGATGCATTCGAGATCCTCCGGCGAGGGCGATCCGAGGACACCGAGGATGTGATTCAATTGATCCAAATAATGTTTGCCAGGGAATATCGCTCGTCTCGAGAGCATTTCCGCCAAGATACAACCAACTGACCAAATGTCTATGGACTTTGTATAACCCTGAATGAAGAAAATTGTATTACAGTAACGTTATATTTTTTCTCTTTCTATATGTGTAAGTTTTCATCTTTTAAGTAATGTTTTCGTTTAGAAGAATTAAGTCTAAGTACCTTAGAATTAAGCATGATTTCCGGAGCTCTATACCATCTTGTGGCCACATACTCCGTAAGGAAACCCGCGTGATTGTGCTCTGGATCCGCGACCCTCGCTAAACCAAAGTCGCATATCTTAAGGTCACAAGTGGTATTCAACAGCAGATTGCTCGGTTTCAAATCTCTATGTAACACGTTTGCCGAGTGTATATACTTTAGTCCTCGCAATATTTGGTACAGAAAATAACATATGTGATCATTACTAATAGCCTGAAAACAGATATTTTATTCGAGTATTTCTTGCTCACGAACTTATATCGCTTTTCTTCCTTTCTAGCAATTTCAAGCCAGTTTTGCGGATATATGCGGATTACTTACTTGTGTCTTCAATAATTTATAGAGATCAGTTTCCATTAGACACTGAACGATATATACGTCTTTCATTTGCTCTAAATTAGGTGCTCTTAATATATCCCTTATATCTATTATCTGTTGCAAAAATAACGGTTAATTAATAACAACAACGAGTTATTAAAAAATATTACGTTATTAAACCATTATCAAACTATTCACGTTAACTTACATTTTCATGCTTAAACCTCGTAAGAATTTTTATTTCTCTCAAAGTCCTCTGACTATATGTTTGATGTTCGAACGGAGAAATTTTTTTAATAGCTACTTTCGTTTTGGTTACATTATCGTAGGCAGATCTGTAAGATAGTGTTATAAAGATACATTATTCGCATTTATTATTTATCAAAGATTTTTTAATGTGCTTGGTCCTACAATCTTATTCATATTATCCCGTGATATATCCACCGCAATTATTTACTTTAGATTATTTGAATCAAAGAAATCCGCTTTTCTTATTGTTAGTGGAAGCAGAGCATCTCTCTCTCTCTCTCTCTTTCTCTCTCTCTCTCTCTTAATAGAAGTAAAAACAATATTTGTTTTCAGATAAAAGCATGAAATAAAAGTATTATACATTTTCCATAATAATCTCTCGTTACAGAATAGAGTACAGGAAAGCTACAAATACTCTTCTTTTTTTCCGCATTTTTTATTCGATTATGTGACTACGTTTACATGTCACTCTTAATTGGATTTAATAACATCCGTAGTTTTACAATTTATGAATCACGGCTATTTCTCTGAAGAATGGAATGACTATGATTGGCCAGTTTTAGAATTATTGATGGTATTAAACCTGGTTAAGGGTGACATGTAAAGTCAATGATACACGGAAAAAAAATGCTGTTGCTTCAATTAAAGTCTACGTCACGGGCTGCCACAGACATACATAGTTCATTCAATGATATTTTTATTAGACCAAATAGTGTACATTCGCGGATTAGGAGTTTAATTGCAAAAGATTTTCATATTTGCAAATTTCTACAATTTACTTATTAACAATAAGAAATTAATAAAAATATTAAAATATTTAATAAAAAAAAATTTCTATTTGCATTTTCATATTAAACATGCCTAAGAATAAATTTATCTTTTCCATTGTCACAGACTACGTTTATTTATTTATATGTCACCCTTAATCGGGTTTAATAATATCCGTAATTCTAAAAGTGGCCAATCACAATCATTCCATTTTTCAAAGGAATAACTATGATTGATCAATTCTAAAATTACGGATGTTATTAAATCCGATTAAGGGTGACGTGTAAACGTAGTCATAGAGAAACTTGGCATTCCTAAGCAAGCTCTATCTATAGAGAAATGTGTATCTTTGAAGATTTCGCAGTATGAAATGTGATTTTATATATGACATAGAACACGTGGTGGAATTTATTCAATTTCATGTGACGCATCCAGACAGAATTGCAATCAAAAATTGATAGGCTGGGTTAAGTTATACATTGAGAAACAACGCTCTCACTTCACATTTTCTCCATACTTTCTTTGACCAATTTAATTTAAAATACCGATCATTAATGTATGTGTATCCAATGCAATATAATGGAGCAATACAAAACGTTAAAAGATAATTAAATAAATAAAAAATGCGATATAAGAAATCTTTCTTTTATATTATTAATTCACATTACTATCTCGAAATGTTATTATTAATTCATAACTTAAAAATATCGCGGGCAACTATTATATTTCAAAAATTATCAATACTTTGATATTGATTCACATAACAATAATATTAATTCAACATCGTAAATATCGAAAAATTAATTTCAAATTTATCAAAAAATGTATCGTTAAAATAAAAAAAAAAGTATTTTTAATTTGCTTTTATTTCTAAAGCTTTTGCCACGCAAGACTACCGTCAGTTTCTAGTCTTGGCTTACGTTGCGTGTACGTGCGATTGTGTGCGTGTTACAATAATAACTGTAATAAAAATATAAAAGAGATACAAGGATAATATCGACGCCAGCAGAAAAAGCGTTAAGCCTGTATCAGACTATGCATTAAAGATTGATATTGAAGATTTGACCAATCAAAATAAAGAAATTTTAGCTTTTTTTTTTATTCTAAATTAAATTCCAATCTTTCTAATCTTCAATCTTGAATCTTCAATGTACTGATAACGGGCTTTATGCGTAAACATTTGTTTTCCACGTAATCCGTCGCGCCTTGCTATGTGATTGCGCACGTGTTAGATAGCACATCGATAAAAACGATAAGATTAGTAAATTGCAATTTCGTCTTATTAGCACATTAATACGGGGGAGGGGAAAAACGCAAGGGAATATAAAGGCGATAAGGAGAAAAAATGATGGAAAAAGAGAGAAAGAGAGAGAGAGAGAGAAGGAAAGAAAGAGAGAGAACGGATACAAAAGAGACAGAGACAATAGATGAGTGAGAAAAATACAGTGAAAGGGGCGTGACATGTGTTCGAAAGTGGCGGTACAAAATGAAGGTATACATATATAAATGTGTGCGTGTATGTGTGTATGTGCGGTGCGAGCGGCGCACGGATATGTGTGGTGGCATGTACTCGCGATCGGCGGTTTTTGTCGCGGCCACGTTTGTCGAATATATCGGCAAGCTGTTCTCGACGACGATTGTTACGCGAAAACGTCATAGCAAGCTGTCGCTGTTCGCGATGCAATTGTTGCCGAAATGAGCGTAGCATTACTCGCTCTCAATGTTTATCTCGGGCTATCGTCTGTCAGATGACGGCCTCGGAAAAGATCGGCCGCTAAACGCGGAACAGTGTGAATCGGCACACTCGGATAATGAAATACTTACACGACCATGCCGTAGGCACCCTCGCCCATGTATGACAGATTCGTGTAGCGCGGTCCGACCTCGAATGTTTGCCCGCGAACCACCTCGCAATTCGGATTCACGCCTTCCAACGCCGCCATTTTGACAACTACTTTGCGGCACCGTTCCGACAAAGTGCTCAAGCAGAGTGCCTCGCCGGAGAGCGACGCGTAACGTAACGACGCGCCACCAATGATGCCAGAATTTAGACGCGAGCAACCTTATATATACCATCTATGCGCAACACGCATCCCTAATGGAGGGGATAACGCACACAGGCGCGCTCGCCGTATATATGTGAGCTCGGAACTTCGGCTAACTTCGGATAACAGAAGAAGACAGATATATCACTTCCTGTCTCTTTCTGTATCTAGGACTGGCCAATCACAGTCTTCTTCTTCTTCTTCTAGGAATTTGAGTGGTCCCGCCAATCACGGTCATTCCATTCTTCAGAGGAATAGTTGTGATTGGCCAGTTTTAGAACTACGGATGTTATAAACCCGAGTAAAGAGTGATATGTAAATGTAATTTATAGTCTATGGTGCTTTTAATAATTTACAATAATTAACAAGGTTGTGGATACTGTGACTTATCTGTTGAAAGAAATTTGTAAAAAAAAAACAGGAATTTACAAAGCGAGATGAATGCACCTCCAACCTTTGAATCGTTCTTGCTATACGAAGGAGAAAAAAAGTATTTTCTAATATTCGATTGTTTGTTTGGCTCTAACCTCGTTTCGACGAGATATGTAAATAATAGAATCGTCCAATTCTATACATTTATTTCTGCGTGTTTGTTACAGGATAATAAAAGAACAAGATACCAAAGTGCCAAATGCTGCAATTTTTACAATCAATAAAGAGGATCATACTTTAGGAAATATGATTCGGAAGTAAGCATATGAGTGTTACATACTTTATTCCTTTTTTATATGTATAGTTAATTAATAATTGTTTTTAAATTTATAGTCAATTACTAAAAGATCCTCAAGTATTATTTGCTGGTTACAAAGTTCCTCATCCACTAGAACACAAGTTTGTTATTAGAATACAAACTACATCAGATTATACTCCACATGAAGCCTTTATGCATGCTATCACTGACTTGATTGCAGAACTTTCATTGTTTGAGGAACGTTTTAAAGTACGCATTTCTAATATAAAATATAAAAGCAACATTGTGTATGTATTACTGACTATAATTTGTTTTTTAGGAAGCAATCAAGGAGAAGAAGGAAGGTTTGGATTAAATAGACGAGCTGAAAATATATCCATGTATATTTTATTAAACTTTCTTTTATTTAATTCTTAGTCCTTTAAAACATGATATGTATATTAAATATGACAAATACATTTGTAAATAATTTAAACATATTTAATTGTACTAAGTCTTGAACTTTATATATGTGTATATTCCATATTTGTAAATATTTTAAAAACTAATATTTATATAAATTGGAAAATTTATTTTATATGTGTTCCATTGCATTCCCCATATTCTTTATTAATCAAATATTTTCTCAAAATTATCTGTATATAATGACATAAATTAGCTAAAACCACAGACTTTTATATTATATGTATATAGAAATGTGTGGCTAACAATAAAACAAAATATATCATTCTCTTCAAAGATTTCTTTATATTTTACTTTCGTAAGAGATCTAAAATTTAACATATGTAATATATAAATTATATAATTATGAATTCAATATTGGTTTATTTTTATTTATAATGGCAGATATAAAGTCGAAAATATTCTCACTAGAGAGAAGCCACGCTGCCATTTTTCGAATGACACCTTTTCTAGTTCGTACAGTAGCGTCAACTAGATCCATTTTAGAACCGGCGGAACTACATGACCAGATTCACTTTTCGGTGCCATGGTAAAACAGTCAGTTGGTGCATATTAATACGAACTACAATCATTTTGATCTCATTTGAAAGATAATTTAATACGTTCGTTCCATAGGTTTCGGAATAACAGTCAATAGCCGAAAAGACACTTTTCGGAACTTTTGAAATTGGTTATTAACTGGTTTATTTCAAAACCTATGGAGTGAACTACAGTAATTTTGATCTCATTTGAAAGATAATTTAATACCGAACAAAAAGTTTCCTATAACACTATCGACGGTAGAGCTTTTCATAATTTTTCACATAAAGACACATTCAAGTAACAGGATAAGCAGATTTTTTTTGCGTTTCCAACTTTTTAATTAAAGTCCTGTATAGCACGCCACGAAATATAAAAGAAACTCTTAACTTTTACTCTTAATTTTCGCTCCAACCAATGTTGCAAGAGATATCTTGATTTTTCGTATAATATTTTGCAAAAATCTGACAATATACTTATTACCGGATCCCATTTAGTCGGCAACGAAATATGATCCTCGACAATCGTGGAAACGAGATAAAAGTCCAACGCGAAGACGCGGCGACGCGAAAAGGCGATACCGCCACAACACGATTCGATTGTTTAATTGCGCGATTTTAATTCGAATCATATTTACATGCCGTCACAAAAGTCGAACGATAAAGCGGCGAACAAAATATATGTAAATTGAAATATTTTTGAAGAAATTATTTATCAAATTATTTCCCGATACTTGTAACCGCGTTTAAAAAATTTAACGGAGTATCTCGCACTGCTATCTTACTGCTCGAGTGTCGCCGTGCGAATAATAACATGTAAGAAAGGAATTTGAGCGTCTCGCCCCACTACAGTTCTATTCAAGTGTTGTTGTATGAATGATAACAAAGCCATGAACAATAGCGCGCCAATGTTTACGTCGCCAAGGCCGAATACCATGTTAGATATTGCTAATTCGCTGCCGAAATATTTTACGTACTATAAAATATATATGCAAAATGTTAAATTATATAAGTATTTTAAATTATGGATCAATTTATAATATTTATTTATTTATATCAAATATTTATTAAACGATTAATGTATCATGGAGCTTATCGTTAAGTTAATTAATGGATTTTACGATTCGATCATTTTATAGCACGTTCTTAATCCAAATTATATCTAGATCGTCGAAAAGTCAAATGATATAGCATCGTGACTAAATTATAGATCGATTATTTAATAAACGATTAATATATCACGGAGCTTATCGTTATGTTAATCGGACTTGCGATTCGACTATTTTATTGCGTGTTTTTAATCCGAATCATATTTAGATCGTCAAAAAGTTAAATAATAAAGTGGACGAAATATATTTAATTTTAAATATTCTTAAAGAAATAATTGTTGCCTAGAGGAAAGAGAGAGAGAGAGTGAGAGGGGGGAGGAGGGAGAGAGGGGGGAGGGAGAGGGAAAGGAAGGGAGGGAGAAAGAGAAAGAATTAATTGTTAATTACATTAAATTATTTCCCGATATTTGTCGCGATCGCGTTTAGAAAACGAATTTGATGGAGTGTCTCGAACTACTATATCACCGTTCAAGTGTCGCCGTGCGAATGTGAATGATAAGAAATAAGAAGTAAAAGGGGGAAAGGAATTCGATGGAGCGTCTCCCTCAGTACTACAATACTATTCAAGTATCGCCGTGCGAATAATAACAAGGCTGTAATACGTGAACAATAGCGCGCTATTGTTTACGCCGCCAAAGCCGCATACCATGTTATTGATAATTCGCAGCCGAAATTATTTTTCATATTATGATGTACATATATACAAGCGAAATATTAATGTACATTCAAAAATCTTATGTAATAGAAATTAAAACATTTATGTTTTATTTTATAAATTAATTTTATGAAAATAATTTTAATGAATTAATGACATCAAAAACACGATATAATTCGGAAAATTTTTAATTAGATAAGGAAAAAAAATATTTTATCTAATTTTTAAATTTATCTGAATAACGTCACCTTCTTTATGTCATTTTATTTACAAAAATTTTATTTAATATCTAATCAAGTAAAATTATGTTCAAAAATATAAGAAATATAAAAATTTTATAAAAGTTTTTATATATTTAATAAATGCACTCTGTTAGACATTATTTCTGCTCCGAATAAATCCATAATATTTTTCTGCAATTTTGATCTATAATTATGGATCTAGTACGTGCATCAACCGGCGATTGTTTTACCGTAGCACCGAAAAGTGAAATTGGCCATGTAGTTCCGGTTCTAAAATGCATCTAGTTGACACTACTGTACCAACTAGAAAAAGCGTCTTATGAAAAACGACGGCGCGACCTCTCTCAGGTTTCTCTCTGTTCTTACTAAAATCTTTTAATTTTTATAAGTAAAACAAATTTCCAAAATTTTCGGGAAATTAATTAAAAACACGAAATATAAAAATAATATGCACAAATTATATCAATTTTTTTATTTTACGTATATATATACTCAATCCACTTTCTGCGAAATCAGATCCCGCCAAAACTGAAGAGCCCATCACGTGGTTGTAATTGCCATCATTACGTCGCGCATGCGCGAAAATAGAAGTCTGCTAATATCACTAGGCGCGTTCAGCAGAGAAAACCGTTCAGTAGCAATCGAACGTGATTGGCTCTTACTTATAGAACTAACAAATCAACGTTAAAGCCTATCGCTATTGCCTAGAATTGTGCGATAGGCTTTAGTGTTGACAAGACGATAACTGAGCGCTTTCTCTGCTGAACGCGATCAAAGCCCATGTGCAGGAATTGTAAGATATATTCTATGAACAATCCAAAAAGGAGGAATAAATAGGTTGGAAACATTTTAAAAGAAAAACTCGTAGCCAAAAATCACATCTATATCTATATCTCTACACTGCAATGGATGATTGGAAAGCACTAGTAAATATTGAATCACATTTATCAATCGTATATAACCCCTAATAAAATTTTAGATATTGTTATCAAAAATATATCTTTATATATTTGGGTGAAAGAGATTATTATATAATCAGAAGTGAGAATAAAGAATATGAAATTAAACATAAGAAATAAGTCTGTATCAAACTATGCATTCAAGGTTAAAGATTGGAATTTGACTAATCAAAAGAAGCTAAAATTTCTTTGTGCTGATTGACCAAATTTCAATCTTTAATTTTTTAAAATCTTTAATGCTTAGTCTAATGTGGATTTAAGTCCTTACAATTTCTTATGTACGTTTAATTTTGTATTCCTTATTGTTTATTAGATGTATAAGTATATCTATATAAGTTACATATCTTATGTAATAAAAAATAAATGATGGTTATCAAATAGGGGCTTGTGGACACACTGTGTAATACATGCATTGAATTAAAATGGAAAGAACCTACCAAGGTTCAACAAGAAGCTATTCCTTTGATACTTCAAGGTGATTTTAAGAATGATACAATTATAATTAAATTGTAAAAAAGCAATGTATTAATATTGATGCAATTATATTTGTTTGGTAATTGATAGGCAAAGATGTAATAGGATTAGCAGAGACTGGATCAGGAAAGACCGCTGCTTTTGCATTGCCTATACTACAATCATTATTGGAAAATCCTCAAAGATATTTTGCACTTGTGTTGACACCTACTAGGGAATTGGCTTTCCAGATTTCAGAGCAATTTGAAGCATTGGGTAAGAATAACTCTTATTTTATCTAATAACTTATTTTGTTAAGAGATCTGATTTATACTATATTTGTTTCAGGTTCCAGCATAGGTGTGAAATGTGTAGTGATAGTAGGTGGAATGGACATGCATGCACAGGGATTACTATTAGAGAAAAAACCTCATATTATCATTGCTACACCTGGTAGATTAGTTGATCATTTGGAAAATACAAAGGGCTTTAATTTACGGCAATTAAAATTTCTGGTAATTACACATGCAATACATGGTTTATTTCGAGGATTGTTAAATTAATTTTAATCTTCTTTCTTATTCACAAGGTTATGGATGAGGCAGATCGCATTTTGAACATGGATTTTGAGGTAGAGGTTGATAAAATTCTCAGAGTGATACCGCGGGAAAGAAGGACATTATTATTCTCTGCAACCATGACGAAAAAGGTACAAAAGCTGCAACGTGCGTCTTTGCGAAATCCTGTTAAAGTTGAGGTGTCCACCAAATATCAAACTGTGGAAAAACTGCAACAATATTATGTATTTATTCCAGTGAAATTCAAGGTGATAATCAACAACAAATATAACAGCATGATTATTAGTCGCAAAATAATTGTTGGCATGCAAAATATATCTATAAAAATTATATTTATAATCTTACATCTATTAAATGATTTTGTGTGGCAGGATGTGTATCTGGTACATATCTTGAATGAATTGGCAGGTAATAGTTTCATGATATTTTGCGGAACCTGCAATAATACTGTGAGAACTGCTCTATTATTGCGAAACTTGGGATTTACGGCAGTTCCCCTACACGGCCAAATGTCGCAAAACAAGAGAATCGCTGCACTGACGAAATTTAAAGCAAAAAATAGATCTATACTAATTTCAACGGATGTTGCTAGCAGGTTAGTCGCGATACAAAATATACTATTGAATATTGAATATTAAAATCAGATTTTAAATTGTATTTTTCTTCTAGAGGGCTTGATATTCCACACGTAGATATCGTTATCAATTTCGATATACCTACACACAGTAAGGATTATATACATAGAGTAGGTCGAACTGCGCGTGCAGGCCGATCCGGCCGTTCGATCACATTTGTCACGCAATACGATGTCGAACTATATCAACGAATAGAACAGTTGATATCAAAACAATTGCCATTATATCCAACGGAAGAAGAAGAAGTAATGTTGCTGCAAGAAAGAGTAAGCGAAGCACAGCGAATAGTGAAAATGGTAAGAGCGGGTTTAAAATTAATGATTTTTAATAAAGAAATGCCAACAATGCATCTATATTGCATATAAATATTATCTATAATTCTCTAGGATATGAAAAATATCGAAGAGAGCAAGAAATCAGGTAAACGAAAACACGGCGGCAACAACGAAGACGACGACACAGAACAGTCTATTGGGGTGAGAAAAAGGATGAAAACAAAAAGTAAAAGAAAGTAAGAATGCTGAATATTTTGTATAATGTATGTCATTAATATTATAATTAATTTTATTATAATAAAGTCCTTTTTCTTTTTACGATTTTTGTGGTTTAAATAAAAAATATAATAATCCTTTTTACTTTGTTAATTATATCTCACTCGAAAATCAATAAAAATTTTCATCTATTGTATATTATTTTATATAATTATCAAATATTCATCAAATATTGTATATCTTTTGGTTAGATTTTTCTTTACATTAGATTTTAATCCATTATAAAGTACTTTATGCTATTCTAACTGGATTAAGGCTCCTGTAAGGCTTGAAATGCAATAACTAAGGCTAAGCAATAAAGCAAACATTGTTATACTGAAGAAATTAGTACTGTATTTTAACGACTTGTAGTCTTTGCACAGAGAGCAGTATGGTATTTAAATATCACTCAAAGAATCACAATAAAATATATTAAGTAAAATCACAATTTTTTTTTATCATTTGCGGCGAACGCGTTAGGGGAAATTAACGAAGCATCGAAGACAAAATTCGTTATTATACAACAAAGAGAGGTCTTCTTTCACGCTTCTTGCATGCTTCTATTTGAATGTTATCACAAAGCAGAATATCATCCCATTTACGAGAAGAAATGCAGACAAAGGAAAACACGTTCGTCCCTATAGCAGAAAAATGTTTAACGATCGTTATATATGTACAGTTTTTAGACTACTATTGTAAAATCGATAGTTGACTGTTTTTGTCAAATCTCTATAGAAAGTCAGTAAAATTCATTGTACAAGGTTTTGTAGTACAAAATACGGTACAAGAAACACAATAAGTGTTTCTTCCAATTTACAACTACAATGCATTCTCTAATCATTAGGAGATTATTAATCGCGTGTATAAAGTGGCAACAGATTCTTATTACTTTTTATAATTCTTGAAAATGCATATTATCTAATCGCGTATTGCAGAAATTAAAAAATATAAATGTGCATTTCACTCTCGAGAATATTTCAGTGTTCTGCCGTTGTTATCTTGTCATTGCAAGAAACAGAATTAAAATGCTGCAATTTCTCGAATTGTGTGCCCATCACGCATTTAACTCGATTATCAGTGCGATACAAGTTATTAAGAATTAAGATTTTAATACTCGGCAAAATCGTTCAGTATCTTGTGTATCACATTTTAACATGGTCTGAATATATACATAATTACATATACTGTCGATATTAAGAAACTTCTACATACAATCGCGTACGTATATAAATCTTGTAAACATTCGCCATAATATATTTACTGTGTTGTTTGACAGATATATATAATAATATATCTCTTGGATCACTTAGTAAACTTGAAAAATGCGTGATTGTGCAGTTCCGTCATGCAAATAATATTACTCGTTGCAATCTCTGCAACAGGAGTATCCGCTTAGAATACATGTATACGCTACGCTTTACATGGTATAATTAAATCATACCTCTCTCTATTCCGCTAAATAATCATATGAGAATTTCAACTTAGTTTTTATTACTAGGGGGAAGGAAGGAGATGTACATTTAATCTCGTTATCGAAGGCTGCTGCGATAGTGAACGACGCACCCACATAAAGGTGTCACTTCGATTTGCAATGTAACGATCTTATATGCGAAATTATTTATTTCAAATGCCGATATATTATTCTTGTAGTATTTAACACATACGTAATTAATAATCTCTTTAATATTTATTTAAAATCTGACAGAGGCCATGTAGATAGAGAATAGTATAAAAAAGTATCTTAATATCTTTTACTCTTAATACTTGGACAATAACAATGCCATTTTATAACTTAAAGATATAAATATTAGTACATCGGATATACTGATAAATATAATTTTCTCTTCTCTTTTTGTGCTTTCTAGAACAATATTAATCGATTTATTTTGATATAGTGCTTTGAAACATCAGCAATTTATATTCACTCGGTATATCAATGCATATCGTTTAACATTATTGCAATAGTATATCGACGATTTATAATAAATAAATTCGCGCGCGCGCGATTTTTGATAAAATAGATACGCACATGCATATCGATTAGTGATAAACGTCATTCGATTGTAGTAAACTTGTATTTGTAAAATATATTGCGAATCTAAGGGCTGCAAAGTGTAGCATGAAAAGTAGCTTAGCCTACCATGCTACTGTTATTAATAATACGCGGTACATAATCTTAAACCTCGACAAGCCCCGACCTCAGATCAATCGTTAGAGCGCATATAAGTAACCTATTTCGCGACAGCGGAGGAATCACGATCAATCTAATCACGATGGATGGAATGTTTTTCCAAATATAGGCTGTGAGATGATGTGCTAGTGTGTGATAAAAATCGAAACACAACTTAGGTTTCATTCAAATGAGAAATAAAATATATTCCATAATATTATTATTCACTATTTCTACACATTCTGTACATTAATTCAATTTAAGGGTTTTATACCTCGATACACTTTATACAAAAAGGCTACTTATAATCTAACATTAAGACATACCATAGCATGAGTGCCCTCCACTTACCGCCAGACGGCGGAGGGCCGCACGCATGTTTGTACTGGTATTATAGAGTCAGTCGCCAGCAAGTATACCATCCTTTCCCCTTTCCCTCTATCTCATTTTCATTCTCTCCTATTATCACACAGCACAGTGAATTGTTTCATATGTTTATGTAGTTGTTTCTTTTTCTATTTTTCTCCCTTCTCTTTGTTTTCTCACATTGTTATCATTTACAAATAGTTTCGATTTCTTTCCCAAACAATCTCTGAATTTTTTTCAATCCTTTTCTCCTTTCATCTATCTCATGGTTAATGGTTTTTTCTTTGAAAGAACAATTAAAAGAGATTTTATCGTCGCAGCTTCAAAATGTAATGAAATGCTTTCATTGGCTTGTATGCACGAATTTGTTCTGTTTTGTTTTTTTCCGTTGTATTCTTTACCGAATTTTTTTTTTTTACATCTGAATCATTTGCAAAATTTCAGAAACACAATACCGGTACGGAAATGGCGTATCTCGAAGATCCGACGAGCGACAGAAATATTAATTCAAGTCTCTGTCCTCTAAGTACTTATACTCGAAAGTAAATCCTTCTTTTTTCCTTTGTCCCCATTTTTCATAGTCAAAATAAATGTACGTTCCCTAAAACAAAATTATTCTTATAGAGTATCGCAAAATATTAGTGATTAATGCACAAAATAAATAATCTGTTTACTTCTATTTAAATTATCCATTGTTACACTTTTGGAAGCTTAAAGATCGGCTTTCTTTCCGAATAAAATCAAGGGGGAAAAAAAATACATACTAACCTGTTCATATTCTTCGTTAATAACTTTTGGTTCCTCGTGCCTTTGAAACCACATCATATACTTAGTGTGAAACCTCCAACTTTGTTTCTTTAGAGCTTTCGCCGCCAAGTACTGTCCTTTAGACCCCTCCATATAATAAAATATGAAGAATAATGTTTCTGTAGAAAGACGTTGGAAGAACTCCACGGTATCCGAATGGGGAAGCTGAACCTAATTGAAGCACATTGTCAACAGTGTCAGCTCGCACTCGTGGGTAGTGAGTGATTGATCAGACAAGATATTGTATAAAACAGGTAAAATATACCTGTTGATAATAAGGTGGCGTGGTGCATGTGTTTCTCGGCAAATACGAACGTAGTCTTTCCGAGTCAGACGGATGTGGCATATGACAGTAGGCAGCCTCCATCATTTGGAATTGCAGTTGATGTTCCCTCTGCAATGGTACAGGCCCCAGAGGCGCAACCCCAAGCAGCGGAGGAATGTGTGCTTCCGACGTGGCATTGTTGCCGCTGTTGTTGTTCGTCTTAGTACTGTCAAAGATGTTTCTATTCGGCTCGGAAGGCGGTATCTCGAGACCTGCTCGGACAATTACTTGTTGGGCAATAGATTTTAGAGAGGACATGTTCCCATCAGGAAGCTTAGGGATGAGACCATTGGCAGTGGACGGTGCTGGCGAGCAGGAGTTTGCAGGCATCGGCGAGGATCTACTGCTGACCGATGATTGTGGCGATGACGACGGCGGTATCGGCGTAGTTATTTCCGTTTCACTATTGTGATTCTGGCTCTGCTGACTGTGTAGCACATGCGTCGTTGGTGCCGGCACCGAATTACTATTATGCTGCTGCGTAACTGTTTGCGGCACATTCGTAATGCTGGACGTAGACGATGACGACAAGAGATTATTCTCGTTGTTGTGGGCTACAAAAAAAAAATGAAGAGATTTATAGAGTTGTTTAATATAAATCTAGTATAAAATAATTATTACAAAAGCGCGAATTGATTTTCTGCAACAATTGCTACAAATAGTCTCGTATACAATTTTTGTATATATGAAAGAAAAAAAATATTTCTTACTGGATGTTTTATTGGAGGTAGAATGGATGGTTTGTGAACTGCTGTGCGAAGCAGCTACGGTGGCGAAATTGCCGGCGTTAGTGGTGGCAATGTGATTACTTGTAGAACTAGGCGAGCTGTGGCTAGGCGTCATGGGAATGGTTTTGCTCGGAGTGCTGCTTGATAATATGTTCGGTTTTATGGTGGCAGTGCTTCCCGTGGTTGGAATGCTCGCTTGTGTATTCAGTAATGGCCTGACTGCTGTCGGTTTTACAGGCTGAAATTAAAACGCGACATCGGAATTGATGCTGTATCCTGATCTCGATAGAGGTTTATCGATCTTCTAATCGACTTTAACGACTAATGATAAATATTTATTTCTTTTTTAGAAATGAGAATCAAGAATGAAAGGTGTGTACCTTTGTTTTCTTATCATTATCTGTAGAGCTGTCGCTCGAGTGATTATGCATAGTTGAACTCAATGATGGTGATGGTATAGGCGAAGTACAGGAATTAGTTGAAGTCGGCGTTCCTCCGGTTTCGTTGCTGTTGTTACTATCCGTCGTTGCTGACGAGGGTATACCAACCCCAGACAACTCGACTTCATCGAGGCCGATAATATCATCGTAAATATACTCGTTTTCTTCAAAATCGGGATCTTGTGAAGACTCGATATAATACTCAACATCATCCTTTATCCTTTTAATCTGTTGGCAATTTCATAGAAAAATAAAAAATGAGAAAAATTGTTTTGTGATAGAATACGTTATGCCGTATATATATTATGTTTTTACATGTTAATCTAAAAAGACTTACTGTATTGACTTCGACGGACATATTGTCAAGCATACGTAATAACGTTTCCAATTTACGGATATGATAGCGATGCTTGTCGAGCTTCGTCTTCAATTCGTCTACCCTATCTTGCTTATCTTTGTCTATTCTTTTCTTCTTTCCCGCCTGTAATGATTCTATTTCCGATTCAAATGTATCCATCTACATAAAAAATAATGATAGATATGTTATAGTAACATGCTATTACTTGAATATTATCTATTGAAGACGCCATCCAAGATGCCATCAATGTAATAACTGGTACCTGTAGATTGAGAGCGTCTATGGAATTAGCAAGCCAACTAGTAACCTCATCTTTCTCTTTCTGAGCTGGGTCTAATTTTTGAGCTGCGCCCAAACCTTCTTTAGAGTAAGCCTTTGTTTTTGTCTCTCTCTCCACAACTTTAAATCTTTCCATTTGCTGTAAGGCATATAAAATATTCAGTAGTATTTATAATAATTATATATATATATATATGCACACATGCTATTACTTGGCAAGCATACTAACAGTTTCGATCAACTTCCGATAGTCAAGTAATGTACTCTTATCTTTTATTTCACCTGACGCGATCCAGCTCTTAATTTGATCGCGTAACCTTTGAAGTTTCTTAATTTCCTTTTTGAGATCAGCCTCGTACTTTTCCTTTTGATTGCTGTTGGTGGCATTATGAACTTTTTGCCAAATATCTTCAAAGGTTTCTACACCTTCCGTTACTTTTTTAAGGCACCGATCTATTTCACCTGAAATGACAATTGTCATATATTATCTTGTTTGTTTCTTTAATATAAATTGGTTACTTCTGCTAGAAAAATTATTTGAAAATCATTGTATATTAAATAGTGTTTAAATGATTAAAACAATTAAAAGAAATTGTACTGCTCTTCTTCAGTTCCTAATTTAATGTAACAAAACAACTAATTGCATAAATATTTTTGAAAATTGAACCAATTTTTCTTACTACGTAATAGGTTCAAGTTAAAGTTCAGGATAATAATTATTTTTTTAACTTTTTGGATAAAATAAATTAATAAATCATAATTCACATACACATACATATATGTTGAGATATCATTAGAGAGATGTAGAGAACACAAAGAAATCTATAGAAAAACTACTACTTTTGCAAGATCACAATCTGAAAAGATAAAAGAGGAAAAATATATAAAGCATAAAATATAGCCAATATTGCAATAAAGATTTCATTTGGCTACAATATTCTCTCGTAGATCAGAAGAAAGAGCAGATGTCCCGCAGTTATTCATAACAACTTATTTATGTGTATAATAATTAAAAAAGTATACATAAATGGATTTCAAGATCACAGTGTATATTATTTTAATTCATCTTACGTTGCATTATGCTACAATTAATTTAAAAAAGTTGATCTATAAAGTATAAAACTTTTAAAGGTTATGCCGATACGTGTCAAAGAACCGGTGCGTCCGCGAGAGAAGATTAAAAGCGACAATGATTGCAATTGCAGGGGGACAAGTAATACGCAAAATTAGGCAGAGTAAGATCCATCAAGATGCCGAGCAAAACGACAGAGAATTGCCGAATGTAAACATACTGGAAAGACATTTTTTCCTCTCACCTTGCAACTTTCTTGTCGCAGCCATGGCTATGTGAACGTGTGGCAAAATGGTTCATGCATAGTCTAGATGTATTGGAAAATATACGTAGCAATTTATCGGAACAAATAGCCGCGACTATTATTCCTCGTATAATATGGGAGACTCGGCCACACACAAGATGGCTTCCGTTTTCAAATGACAACGTCCGTGAATGTGTCGTAGCGCGAGAGATCCTCCTCTCCTAGCGTTCGAGAGCCCGATTTCTCTAGAGATTTTCCTGCTGCGAGCCAAGTGCTATGCACGAATGTAAACTACGCACGATGCGAGCTTGTTTTCCTCACAGTCCGTAATATAGTCGGCTCACGAGAAGCAAGTAGCATCAACAAATGTGATATATATGAGATTGAGATACGAGAAATGAAATAGTATATATATATATATATATATAATACGTGTGTGCACGCACACTCTATTCGCGATTTGCATACGGTTCTTCGATGTGTTCAAAAATGCGATATCTCTACAAATTAAAGATGCCTTTTCATGTATCGTTCGTGGCTCGTTTCGAACGATTAAAAAAATCACGTGTCTCTGGATTGTCACTAACGACCATAGAGCTTGTATGAAATAGAGTAGCGTTCGATTGACCAATCGAGGACAAAGAAATTTTTGTTTTCTCTGATTGGCCAATCGTACGCTACTCTATTCAAAGTAAATTTTGGAACGTAACCCAGAGTGTTCATAAATAGGCTGTTTACGCGAAATTGCATCATTTCCCGCGTCGCTTTGTGAAAGATATCAAGAGTTTCGGTGATCGGAGGACTACGTTTCAGCGATTTCGAATCGCTGTCACCGCCGGTTTACTCGCCGGTTGTCGTTGTCGGAATTCGTCATTGAAGTGAGGAGGTTGGGATACTACGGTAATAGAACGTACACGAGTTGTGTACGAAATGTATCGCCGTTCGAGATTTCGCGCGGCGATCCTAAGCAACGAACAAGCGGCAAGATATTCGCACTCGCTTGTCACTGGTTGTCTATCCAAATTAAATCCGCGGCAGCAGCAGCAGTAGCAGTAGTAGCAGCAGCAGCATCCTCCTGACCGTCAGTGACCATCGATACCGCTATTGGATACTACGTTCGCTCGTAGGACTTGGACTAACCTCCTTCTCAGGACGGTTGCCAGGGCGAGCCATAGCACAGTCGCTATGACAAAAGGTGGCATCACTGGGAACGTGTTGGAAGCACGGACGGTACAGCGCTCATTGATATGACGCCATTTTACTAACCTTTCTCGTCGTGTCCACCGCGACCAGATACTCAAAGCAGTGCCGAGGCATTAACTACGGGCTACGTGTCGTGTTTCCACGCGGTCGATCGCGTCATCGTGCGAACAATTGGCTCGGTCTCACGCCCTGTGTAAAGTAAGTACCGAACGTGAATCGCGTCTCTCGCGCTCTCTCTCTCTCTCTCTTTCTCTCTTTCTCTCTTCCTCTCTGTACGAATGCCCGCGCTCGATCGCGGGAATTCGCTCGAGAGTCATCCTCGTGCGCATCCAACATTTTCGTCGTCCGTGTTGCTGGCGTCGTTTCTTGGCCTCCGCCAAGGATCGTTGTAGTATTTTACGAGAAAGACAGGCAGAGAGAAAGAGATTACCGGCGATTCGCCTCGTCACGTCGTTGCCAGGACGGTGTCTCTCCTTAAACCGCCGCATTTTCTCCGCGTTTCGTCTCGAGGCTGGCAATTTCGAACGTTCGCGAAATTAGATTCGCGACAAGAATTTCGAGTTTTTCCAAGTGTAACAGGTAATTGTTATCAAGGCTATAATTTTTTTTTTTTATACGAGATCGAAATTTCGAGTGTAGAATTGAGATGTGGGATTATCTTCAACGAGAAACCGCCTACGCGTTATTGCGACGCAGTACATATTATCTCAATTTCGATGTCAGAATGAAATTTCTGATGAAAATGCATTAAAAATGTTTTTGTTGCATTGAAACGCCGTTTTTATGTTTGTATTCAGCGTAATCTTTGGTCACAGATAACTTCAAGTTTTTACTTTCGTCACCTGGCATTCTTACAATATTCCTTTTAATAATTCCTATCTTATCGTCAATTATAATTATAATCGTTTTTTAATTCTTTGAACTCAAAAAATTAACATGTCACTCTAATAAATTATATGCGCATAAATCTTGCAATGTATGCAAAAATATATATTATATTTAATTTAATTTAATTTTAAATTTAATTTAAATTTAATTATTGTATATTAAATATAAATATATTTCAGGTAAATCGCTGTAACAGTTTGCATTATTATGGAAGATGAGGATGGAGAGGGTAAAATTATAGATATGTGGAATATCTTGGAGGAACAACAGCTCAAAGATTCGACATTGGGTAATGCATTAAGACATTCCATCGATGATGTATACACAGATGTAATTGAAGAGGAGAAACAGCTGATACGCTACAATTCGATCATAGCGAAAGATTCGCCTGGCAGAAATACAGTAACAAATCCAAAACTTACATTCAAAGGCTTCAAGAAGCGCATCCTAGCCCAAGCTCGAGAGATTCATACCTCCAGTCCGAAGAATAGCACGCCGGAAACGCAACAATCGGCGCATCCCAATGCAAGGGGCGGCAAGGACAAGAGGACAGAGGGGAAACGGGAGCGTAAGATAACGGAATACGCTCAGTATTTGGGTCTTCAACCATCAGCGAGATACAAATGCTCCAAGTGTCACACGTGGTCCATTTGTGGTTCCAATACGAAACAGAACTCTTGCACTTGTAATTCTAGTATGACGCCGATGCCGAGTACCTCCGAATCGAGTACTTCAATGTCGCACAGCGCCAGCAGCTTCAAGATCACGAGAAAAGTTTATCTGTGCGCAGCGTGTGGTACATATTTCGAAAACTGGAATTTATTCTTGCACATGAGGGACATACACAAACGTCACATATGTCTTTACTGCCTCGGCATGTTCGGCCAGGCGGAAAGGCTGTCGTACCATCTGATGAAGAAACACAGCGTTCCGGAGATGGCGTTTACCTCGATGGAGGATTTCTATAACGCTTTCAAAGGTTCGTGCTACTTGGTCTGTTGCAGCTGCGAAAAGGTTTTCTCGGAGACCGACGATTTCTTTAACCATTATTGTTCACTGACATTGAAACAAGATGTGACTGATACCGGCACGCCGGTATGTACCATATGCAGGCAGAGTGCGGGTACACACGCGAGTACCTGCAGTTTTGCGCTACCATCGGATACGGATAGGGATTTGTGTGGCTCCGCGACGCCATTATCAGTCGCTGACGCGACGCACGCGGATAATGCGTCGCCAGCGACTATCCTACCACCGGAGAAAACTACAAATCTCGGAGGTAAGGGACCACCGAGAAAAGCAATTAAGCACAAGAGCAAACACAGTGAGGGAGATGGTGCACAAAATTCCCGCCAACCAAAACCGATTGCATCGACAAGGAAATTAGGCGCGAAAATCCGGTGTAACGAAAACCAACTTGATCGCAATCTCGATATCCAAAGAGAAATAACAAATAATTTACCTAGAGACACAGTTACCGAGACAATAATGGAGGTATCTAGGTATACGGGCCGCGATTCATCTGACGAGAATGACGAGAACGATGAACAAGCAATGAATAAGGACGTGTTTAACAATCGTGACAAAGAATCGGGAGAAACGTCACCGGCTCAAAATTGTCAACTCGATCGCAATGAACCTTACGACAGTGTAACCGAGACTATTATGGAAGTGTCACGCTATACAGGTGACGAAGATAAAAACGAAAAAGAAGAAGATTCGATGTGTACTGCAGATGATGAATATACATCGCGCACAGTTGAAAAGATGAATACCGAAAACAGCGAGATATGCGATAAAAACGATATTGACTTGGTACCCTCGATCAATTCAAGACCATCTAGTCCAGTACAATGGGAAACCGAGAAAACCGCGATAGCAGACGCAAAAGCGAATGCTACGTGCGAGCCTGAAAATGAAATTGAATTTTGCGCGTATGACAGCCCGCAAAATGTACAAAGTCCTGTCAATCGATCACTGTTTAGTCCGCAACACGAGTCGCATGCGTTGGATCCGCAATCCAAAGAAGAAGAAAATGACGACGACGATGTCGAAAAGAATGAGGAGAAGTCAGATGCGACGTGCGCCGCTGAATCTCAAGCTTCAGTTTCGTTTAACGCTGTTGCTACTTCCGATAGGAGTTTGGTTATTAAAATTTGCAATAGAAACTCGCAGTTTAGCGTCGCAACGACTACCACCGCGAGCAAAAAATCCGAGGAAAATAATAATGCCCAAGGATCGACATCAAAGGACAAAATGTTAAATGGTTCGAAAACGGAAAGAGACATCAACGGTGGTGACGAAGCGAATAACGAGCTGGATGATAGCGATTCCGATAGCGATAAACTGGCAGTAGTGGATAGCAATCAGGAGGAAGATGAAGAAGCGGAAGACGGTGAGGAGGCTGAAGAGGCCGACGAGGTCGAAGAAATCGAAGAGGACAGATGTAATGATGCGAGAGATGACGATAACCAAGATAATCAGGAAGGAAATGGTGGAATCGGAACTGAAACAAGTACTGATCGGGAAACGTTCGCCGTCACATCGATGCCAAGCCACGACGTCAGTATTGAAAAATTTGTTAATAACGAGACCGAAGGCTCAGCGAGAAGTGTTGCTAGTGACCAGACGACGAAAGACGATACAATCGATATCGATGGTGGTATTGCACTAGCCGGCGAGGATGCCCCATGTATCGATCTAAACGTTGAGGGTACTTTGGATAGCATGGATTTGGAGGAGCTGCTAAAACGCTGCATTGAGGCGGCCAGTCCTATCTGCGTTTATTGCAATCATGCGCGGCACATAGCCATCAATGGCAAGCAACTGGGTTTGCACATGCTGGCAGAGCACAAGTTTCAGCCGCAGCATCCCGCGATAATCATACAGATGGAGCAGTTTACCATACGGGTGAGGAGATCCCTGGATGAACTCGAGTCTCGTTACTTCAATCTAAACACATATACTAGCGCGAACGGCACATACAATGTGCCGGCAGTGTTAATATACGAATGCTTTCACTGCAGATTCCACTCCGCGATACACAAAGAACTGTATCTGCACAACCGGAAGATGCATCAGAAGACCATATTGATTTGTATAATGTGCAAATCGACATTTTACAGTTACAGCGAGCTGCTGTGCCATCTGTGTCCTGGTATTTACTCGCCAAACGTAAACCTGCGATACCGTTGCTGTCTCTGCTCGGTGGCCAGTCTCCCATCGGCAATCTGCGCAAGCGTCATCACGTCTGTGACGTTTGTCTAGAATCTACCGGCAATCAACAGCGTCTCTCGAACCACGTGTGGAAGCACAAGTTACATCATTTATGTTACAGATGCGGCATCGCGTACCGCAACAAACCGGACATCACGAAACACCTGTTTTGGAAACATGGCACAGAGAGTGTCTTGTGCCGGAAGTGCCTGCAGAAGAAATGGCCGCACATATATCACTTCTGCATACCACCCACGGCATTTGTTTGCGAGGAGTGCGGCTTAAGCTTTGGTCGCGCGGTGGCGCTCAAGGTGCACAAAAGATTGCACTCGGGCGATTCACCATATGGTTGCGACGAGTGCACAGAACGCTTTATATCGCGGAAACTTCTAGCCAAGCATCAAGCGGCTCACAGGGAACCAAAGCCAGAAGACATCGATGTGAATACGATGGACGTGGTTCATGTTCCACCTACGGAAAGAGACGAGAAATTAGACACAGCGGCAGCGCCGATCGACGGGACCGCCGTAGTGACGGGAGTCATGGGGGTCGAAATTACGAAGAATGTCAAAGAGGCTGTGAAAAGAGTCGATGTTTACGATCTGCCTCCGCTTAATCTATCGTCTGAAAGCGACACGGATAGCGAGGAAGAAAAAGTCACTTCCGCGGAGAAACTGCCGGAAAAAGAAAAAGTCGTAGAGGACGCAGCGGAAAAGGAAAATGAAACCACCGAAGAGCTCTCTGCTACCGCTGTTGATGATGTTGCTACATTAAACAACGATATAGTCGAAGTGGAACGGAACGAGGAGGAGAAGAAGCAGGAGGCACGCATTATGGACGGTATATGGGATAATTTCAAGACATATGCCGCCAGTCTGGACGTAGAGGAGTCCGCCAAGAACATTGCGTTGAAGGAAAGCGTACCCGAGACCGATGCCGCGTATCTGAGAAGTATTATCCTCGCCGACCATGATTATTGCATAGTATATTCGTCCGAGAAGAAGAGCGAAGATCAAGCGATTTCCAAAGACGACGACGTAAAGGACGAACACGACGGAGTTAAATCTAAAAGGAGTCCATCACCCGGTACGCCGAATCAAAACGCCGGATGCGACAGCGACGCGAACAAACGAAAAGCAAAGACTCCTAAGAAAAAGAAAAGAAGCGGCAGCACATCGTCCACGAGTGATTCCTCGAGCGATACCGATTCGAGCAGCTGCTCGTGCGGCACCAACTGCAGCTGCAGCAGTTCCTCTTCCGGCAGTTCCTCCAGTTCTAGCAGCAGTTCCGACTCTGATAGCTCCACACCTGAGAGTTCACCCAGAAAGCAATCAAGCAATCGTAAAGAAAAACATAGTAAGAAGGAGAAGGAAATCGAGCCGGAGGACAAATTAGAATCCGTTGAGCCGGAGAACAAGCCAGAGATCACAGTAGAGAACGGTCTAGTAATTCCCGAGCTAACGAGCGAGCTCCCGACAGTCACGGCGAAGCCGCTGTTACGGGAATCCGATTTGGAAACCGAGGAGACCGAAACAGACGAGGACTTTTACGACGAGCATCCGCAGTTGCTTGCCAACAAATTATTGTCGGAGAAGCGCAATCAGTTGCTGCTATTGGCCGCCGTCGCGCCGGCGTCGACACCGATCTCGCCGGCGCCAGCAATGGAACAACCATCGACGCCGCTCAACAACGGCATTTTGGATGCGGAAAAAACGTTGCCGGAATCGATTATGATGACCACTGAGGATCATCAGCAACCACAGCAGCAACAGAAGAGAAAAACAAAGACAAAGAAACGACGAAAAGGTGAGAGAGGCGGTAAGCGTAATGCGACTACAGTGGAATCGATCAAGTTAAACATTCCCAAGGCGTTTTACCGGAAAAATCCGGGATTCGTCGCATCATCGCCAGCGATGCTGCATCCCAATAGCAGGGCCTCGACACCGAACCAACTGCTGGCTGCCACATGTAACGATCACGACAGTGTTGGCGGTGCAATGGAGATGATGCAGCAACAGCAACAAACATCGATCACTACTGTCATTGGCGTGCCAAATCAACATATCGGTGCAGGCGGCATGGAGACGGAGAATAAGAGAGTTTCGAAGAGGAAACGTGTGCCGAAGCGTTTTTATGGCGATTCAAGCGATGATGAGCCGCAGGACAAGCAACCGGCGTTTAATAGATGGCGAAAAAGTGAGATCCCTGCTAGTCCCTCAGCCTTTGTATCGCCACTCCCGCCGACAGCAATGACATCACCGAATCCGAAATCGATCGTACCTCCAAGATATCCTTTGGGCGGCAAGAGCGTTACACAGACATACACCAACAGGTCCCAGGTAGTCCAAATGGAGCAGGCAGCTAGTCAGCAGCAAGCGGTTCTATCCGAGGAGTTGCCGCGCATCATCACGCCAGCGTCCGCCACCGAATCCGACGATCCTGCGGAGAGCAGCAGTGATAGCAGCGAGTCCGAGATCGAGGACGTCACGAGACAGACGAGGATAAATCGTAACAACTTGACGATGCCATCAGCCATAAATACATCAGCCACGGAGCGGCCTGGCAAGATTTATTGTTATTGCCGCTGCCCGTACGACGAGGTGTCGGAGATGATAGCTTGCGACGGCGAGGACTGCCGCATTGAATGGTTTCACTTTGAGTGCGTCGGTATAATGGTGCCGCCCAAGGGCAAGTGGTATTGTCCGGATTGTCGGAAGAAGCACGATATCGTACAGAACGACGACTATTGCGATTGATAGTGAGATGACAAACAAAACAATGATGATAGCGACAGCGTACTAATTACCAAATTCGACCGATCGAAATCGTTGCTTTTAGGCATAATGCTAAAATTTTCCTTCTTTCTTTTTCACGAAAAGGAAAAAAAAGATACTACACTGTTCCATGTTGATATTTTTCTTAAACCGATATGTAGACAATGTTTGTACATAATTGTGTAAATACGTCCTAGAGTTTGTAAGAATGAAAAAATGAGGTTTTTGTGTACATTTTTTTGTATTTCTTTTAACGACGGCGCCATGTATAAATATATGAAGTAGATATGTAGATAAATAGATAGACACAGACAGATAGATAGAATAGGTAGGTAGGCAGATAAACAGGCTGATAGCGAATAACGGTGCAAAACCGTAGGAACCTAGCTTTTCGCAAGGGCAGGACAGCGTTTTACGAATTCGGAATTTTCATCTGATTATGATTGTCGGTATTGCTGGCGGTATTTGTCTTGATCTTAGCTGTTCTCGTCGCGATCGAACTTGCATGAACTCTCGCATATCTCTCTGTTAGTTCAGCAAAAGCACTAAATTTGTAATACTAAATATGTAATTGTCGCGCGCGCGGGTGATTGCCATCTACTTTTTTTTTTAAACTACGGATACAGAAATATGACAATTTCCTTGTTTTCTTGTTGGCAAACAGACGGTTTTATAAATTTTTAAATCGTTAAATTCATTAAGTTTGCATTGCATTAATCGTTAACTGTTCTCTTTAACAACGGCTATGTTCGAATTGTCGCCATGTAGCGCTTATTTAAAATGATTGTACCTCTTGAGAGGTGTATCTTTCCTTGCTTCTAGTCTATCATAAGGTAAAATGCTTGAAGTGAAACGTTATTCTTTCAGCAGCCGAAACAGCCCTTTCGTCGACAGTCTTGTGCCACATCGAAAAGCCGATTAACGGTCGTATAAAGGCTTATATCGCATCAGTGAGATCTACAAACGTGTTAAATTAAATTAAATTAATTAGAAAGCAGGCGCCATTCTTTGACTATGAGAATCGATTAACAAAATATCGACGCGCGGAAAGTACTGTTAATATTAGAAATGGAGAGATCGTGAAATGTTTATTGAAAATTTCGCTTTAAACAGTATTATAGGATATATACAAGGAAACATATATCCATCATGTTTATTTATATACGTTTCCGAATTTCATATCTTTATATACATATACATAACATCCTGTATATATACACACATATAGAACACACGAAATTCGGAAATGTATATAAGAGAGAAAGAGAGAGAAAACATAATGGATATATAATATATATACACAATATACATCCCCCATATAACTGGTAATACAATCGAAAAAATAATAGTTCTATGAAAAAATAAATTAAAAATGTAGAATAATTTTTTTTTGTGCAAGGTTTTATTGCCGAGAAAATTGACTTTGAAAATTGGAAAATTAATAATAATTTGCTTTTTTAAACTTGAGTGATTTCTGACAATCTTGTGTTATACATTATCGAATTTTTCTTGCGTGGTTGATAAAATATATATAAAAAGATGCAACATTTTTTTTATTGAATAAATGAAGTTTATCTACATATTTTTCTCATTTACGATACTTCTTCAGTGTAAATTATTTTAACTTGTTTTATTAAATAGATTAATAGTTTTTATTTGTACTTTTACATATATATTAATAATCACTCTTGAGATGAAAAAATTCAAATATGACAAAAAGTGAATTTTTTTAAAGTGAATTTTCTTGAAAACAAAATCTTATATGAAAAGATATTATTATGTGTTTTCGAATTATTTTTTCATATAAAATCCTTGTTAGTCGCGTCTGTTTGAACAGATTTTCACAAGTGTCTGCTAAAAATTTTTATCAGCAGAAAAGCTATGAATTTAATAGAATTTGTTAATTTCGATTATGTCGACACACTGTAACAGAGCCTGAGCATAAAGATTGTCATAATCGTTTGTCACAGACGTTAAGTCGAAGATGTAAGGTAATGCACAATGATTGACGTAAACGCCGACGGCCATTCTGCTAGCATTTCTTCTTTTCTTTATTCTTAATGTCTCTTTCAATTTTAATCTGACGTTTACAAAAAATAAATAGTTCCGATCTTTGTTTTAGGTTTACTTCCATCACTTTCGTTTACTCCTCACAGCAGTATATATCTATAAAAAAATTTCTCCAGAGTACCGCGATGCTACAGATAATCGTCATGTTGATTTCCTCAATTGTTAACTTTAGTTTCCTCCAGTGTTTCGATACCCATAATGTCCATGGCAAAATCTTTGTAAGATATTCTCTGTATCATAACGTAACAATACATTACTCTCGGGAAGCCTAACGACGAGTTTATCTTGTTTATTCTACATTTACTGCCTATTTGCATATTGTTTTTCAACAAATTGGGAAGGAAAAAATTACCGGCGGAAGAAAAAGAAAATCGAAGGACACGTCTCTTTGCGATGGACTTGACGGTCGAATTTCTGTCGTTTCCTTGTCAGAAGGCACGAGCAACTTGAGATACGTATATGCCTCTTCTAAAGTCAACGGTTCACCTGTCATGCACAAGAACATACAAATTAACGAGATAAGTGTTATTAAATACTGCAGGTGAAAATTGAATTTTCATTTTGGAAAAAAAAAACCAATGAAAATACAATTTTAACTTTATTCGCTCTATTCAAAATGTAAGAGTAATTCGCAAATTTTGAGACTGTTCTAATGTCGAAAAGTAGATTGTTACATTAATTAGTATACAGTTTATTTGTGAGGAACAATTATGTTTTCTCTAATAAATAGAAGCACAAGAAAAAAATCAAATTAGCAGATAGATAGGTCATATAAGAATTAAAAAATTTGACAGATTAATTTATATCAGAATAGAGATGTATATATTTTTGCGACAAAGTCGCAAAGTAGAATAATACATAAAGAAGTCAATTAATGGACTTGCCGACACGCTCGCTATCTTCCATCGAAGTTTTCGATATTGTTGTTCTACCCAATAAAACATCCATAAACTGTTCTCTTGTTAAAGTAGGGTTTTCCATATTAATAGAATTCTCATCGATGAAAGTACGAAAAGCTTCCTTTATTTGGCGCATGCAAATTCCGAACGCCGGTCGATGATTCACATAGAGTCGCACGAATTCTTCAAAAGTGATCTTTTCGATAAGTTTATCGGTTTCGACATAATGTCTGTAGGACACTTCCGTCATGATATTCTCTATCTTGAAAGTAAATTTATATCTTAACGCGAGAAAATCTTGCGACGTAACATACACAAAGAAAAAAAATGTAGAAAATCTTATGCTCCCATTAGTACAATTTCAAAGTTTCAAAAAGATTCGTCCACATGTTCAAAAGTTTTTCAAGTTTAAAATGTTGACTCATTTTATAATTATATCCTGTATATAATATTACGCGCGTGAATACACAAACATACACACAATCTAACATAACATAACACAAGGAATACTTCTTTGATGGTCGGAAAATATCCTATAGCTCGCATAAGATTTGGGATCTGCTCGATGGCCACAGTATCGGAGACGATTCTGGCAGCGGTCGTATTTTCGCTTTGATGTAATATTTGCGCGTAATAGAATAGGTCCTTCATCTCGTTTATCAGCCATAATTTTTTGTCGCCTTCAACGAGACGATGAAACGGCGAGAGTCCTTCCCCGCCTAATTGAGCCATTAAATCAACGGATCTGGGAAAAATGATTTTTATTTACATTTTTCAGCATAATATTAAGATTCGCAATCACAATTATTTTGCAGTCGTATTTGATGGAGATGATGTCTATATAGATCAAAGATAAAGTTTTTTATGTAGAAAACCATATTTTTGAAATGTTTTATTTAAAAAAGAATTTGTTTTTATTTTAACGATGACATATTGAAAGTGAGAATATATTCCAATTTTCTTTTAACGTCAAATTTTAATGTGACTGCAATAAAGAACTCGCACTGCTCATCAATATATACCAACTTGAGTTTGATTTTCCACATCAACACACACGGATCGTTGTAGCCTGTGGTAAAGAGTATTTCTCTGTTGCTGCTGACAGCGATATTTGTTATCTACAAATAACACAGGTGCATACATATCATTTCATAAATATGAAATATAAATATATAACATCTACAGGCCTCTAACTTTTCGTGGATGTCCCGTCATACCGACAATCTTATAAGGATTGCCGTCGAGAGGCAGTAGCTGAAGACCGATTTCCCTGTCAGTGGCGAATACCATATAACTGTTATAATTGACAAATTTCTTCGTTAAGACCTGTGGGCGTTGCAGAGATTTAAATACAAGGTAATCATTAAAAGATCACTTTGATAATTACAAACATTCCGTCTAAACTAATCAACATATCATTCTAATAAAAATCGTTCTATAAATGTCTCAATACGTTACTTGGAATTGTTGTACTGGTTCTCCAAAGGTCGGTCCCAAATAAGTACCGCGAATAGTCTTGGTAACATCATTGAAGATTTTATATTTGTACTGCAATGAATATATGGATTAGAGTATTGCATCTTGTTCACACGATTTGGGCAAATCAAGAAAGAGAAAAAGAAAAAAGCGATTATCGAAATCTTACTTCGGAATTTGAAATCATAAGAAATCTCTCAACACCGAACTCGGGATACCACGCTAAACAAAGGGGAATAGCGGTCTGTTCGATTTTGTCGATGCGCAATATTTGAAGTCCTGGCGTTGGATACGGCCCGCTGTGTTCGAGATCATATTCGATGAGCTCTCGATCCTCTCCCAGTGAAAAAAATCGGGACGCAGCGGAATCCGATGTAGCCGGACCGAAAAGTATATCTCTGATGGGTAGATAATGCGAGTGATATTTTCCGATTAAATTCCACACGTTGGGCTCCTTCGAAGCGGTGATATCGTTTCTCTTGAATACTACTACTGTCAGCGCGTCGTCCTGAAAATAAAATCCTTATATTGATATCTTTTAAGAATAAATTGTACATCCGCGGGACGATCGACGAATTTTTCCTTACTGTATAAGCCATATAATCGGCGCGCTGTGCGAAAGCGATTTTATTGACGGCTGCCGAGGAGTGTTTGTACGGAATCTTCTCTAAAGGATCTAAAGTAACGTGATGTAGAATCCAAATCGCTCCGTTCTCCAAACCGCACGCTAGCATGTCGCCTGTAGAAGAAACAATGAGCGCTCTTCTATGCAGATTTCCTTTACTTGGAAAATTATGACATTCGTCGATACCAACATCTTGGCGAAAACTTTAAAACTGTGACGGCTTTTAAAGACTCGTGACTTTGCGGACAAGTGACGTAAATAATGTTCTTGTCGATTGTCTGTTTTTCGAGAATCGGCCGGAAATCCGGAAAGGGTGGCATGCTCCTGGATATTATCAAGGTACAGTCCTCGTGATTATAGAGATGTACGGTACCTCGCACATCGCCCACGACTACGTAATTGCTTTAATTAAAATTAATAAATATAACAAATATATACATTATTAATTATTTTAAGTATTTTCAAAACATAATTAATATAAAAAATACAGATTAAAATAACAATATATTTATGTAAATATATTTATGTATTGTGTTTTTTTAAATATCATATTAATATAATTAACTACATGTCTACTTCGAATTATTCTACCTTTCTGGATGAGCATCTATGCTGGTCGTGGTTGCCACTGGATGAGGTAATATAAAATGCCATTTTTGCTTCGGAATTTCTATTAATGCTATTACTCCCGTAGAGGAGCCTATAATAAAAGAACAAAGCCAAAAAAATACATTTAAATTCGAATCAGAATAATTCGCACATCTCTAATGAAATAAATGTTTTACATGCAAGAAAATTTCGGACGTTAAACGGGGAGCCCTGTAAAGTAGCATCCATCGGCGGATAGCTCGACTTCGCTTCGCTAAATGCCTTATTGTAGTTTCGTGGAATATGTTTTGCATTTGTAATGAATTTTGACGAGGCCATCTCTATTTTGCCATTTTGTTTGTATTCTAATTCATGAGAATATTTCAATGTATCGTGTGATCCATCGTGCAAGCGAATACTTTTTTTTTTGTTATACATATATCGTAAGTTTTCATTTTCCTCGTACGTTAAAATATCAAATAAAAAATATATGTAATGAATAAATTAATATAATATACGTTTTACATTACTATAATATAGATTTAATATCAGCTATAAAAAAAATTTACGAATAAAAAAATATATAAAAATGTGAACATTAAAAATAAATTACATATACAAAGACATATAAAAATAGGAATACAAAACAATGAAAGATAAATGATATAACATAAGAGGAACAATTTTGAAAGTTAAAGACGGAACGCTCGAAGAAAAGAAAAAAAAAAGATTTTTTTAGATAAGACTTACTCTCAGATACATTGGTGATAAATACTGGAGATAGCAAGTTTGATTGGAGATCGAAACTTATCCATCGAATGGAATCAATATCGCAATTCTGACACCAGTACAAAAGTTTCAATTGATAATTATAAAAAGTGATACGACCATTTGAACTTCCCGTGACAAGCATACTGCAAAATTAACGATTAAATTCGCATCAAGTATACTATTATTAGGCTATTAATAAATTACAATTTTCAGACGTGTATACTTTTCGTTATGGGCGATAACAGTAATACTACAGCTCTGTAAATTGATCGTTTTTACGTGTTTTTTCTCTTTATAATTAGCATCATTAATCGCACCCTTTTCTTTACGAGGAACGTCATTCCACACTAAAATGCATCCTGAAAAAGTTATAATGTCAGCACACAATGTTAGATAACTGTTTATTAATTGGCAACTAAAATTATATCGATAAACAGAGGATACCATTCGTAGTCACTGTAAACGCTTGCTGTATTTTCGAAACATAGCAAGTTCCATTGAAGATTTCAACACGTCGAAATTTTGTCACGACTTTGGGACAATCGTAGCTCAAAGATTGACCGTCCTTGTTTATGAAATTTGATAGAAATATGAAAATCAGAATTTAATCAGACATTAGTTAAGTTAAAATTTTAAATGTATATAATTTTTTTTTCTTGTTTTGACAAAATATTTAGTAAGAATATTTAATGTAAAATCTAGTTTTGTTAACGTAGAGTGAATATGTCATAAAAAATAAAATTTAAAATTTGACATATCATATAAAGAGAAAGATCTTGAAAATTCATACATTATCAAATTTTATTTATTTCGATTTATATCGCCGTTTCGCTTAACGATTCTAAATAAACTAAAAATACAAATATGATATTTTTCACTAACCCAAATTAGGAACAAAACATGATAATCGGTGGTTAATGCGAACTGTTCCGGATATTCATCGTTGAAAGTTATTTCCTTGACACGTTCGGACGTAGTGTCGATCAACGGAATTGATGCTGGAAATGTCGTTAAACAAATCGATAATTTATAATCGATAATTTTTTTGACACAAATATTTTACAAAATCTTAGTCATAATAATCACAATTGTCTATTTAAATAATTATTAAATCTAATTAAATCTGATTATATATCAATACTTTTTGCATAAATAAATGATATAATCAGTAGGATTATAGGATAAATATAATTTTTGTAATGATAATAACAATATATGATAATTAATATTTAATTGTAAGTGTTTCTAAGGCAAAGAAGAGTGATTAAACGAACGAACAAATTAAGGGAGCAAACCGTCTGGTTTGTCCCTTCCATGACTCCACAACCAGATATGCACATTCTGACATTTTTCGTTGCTGACAGTGATTATCTGCTTAGCATCGGGACTGATACGAGCGACTGTCACGTCTTCGCTTGCATGCGGATGGAATAAAGTGCACACGGGCATCCTGGAAACACATCGAAAAGAATAATATTACGAAAAAAGTTTCTTCAAGAAAAAACTTGCCCCTTTTCCGTATCCCAGACCATTACTACGGAATCTTTTCCGAAATTCGCTGTCAGCAACCATTTGCCGTCCCGCGAAGTGGATAATGTTCCTATGGCATTACGCTAAAGAGGGCAAGAAACATCCCTTTGCAAATGCGGAAAAATGAACGTTACTTTGCGCTACACGCGTAAAAAAATATACCGACATGGCCCAGAAGCGGCAACATTTCTCTTGAAACATAGTTGTAAATCACAACTACATGCGAACAGGCATACGCTAGTAACGTACGATTTTCCGTCGTTAGATTTATCACCGGTACTTCCGGATTTATGCCGAAGGACCATTGCAACGTCTGCAAAAGAGAACGACAATTTTCTGACAATTAAAGACATATTCGTGTCAGTTAATGCATCGTTCAATGTAATTTCATAGTTTTCACTTACGAACGGGCAAAGATCATGCTCCGTGAATGTCCGCTCGTAGCATTTTTTTTCGGCGTTTTTTTCCATAGTCTCATTATTTTCGATATCTATTCGAGATTGATCCGAAATTGACGAAGAAGCAACAGCGTACATCGCCATTTTAAAACAAATGCGACATAAACATTCAATTTACAATATAATTACAATTGATATAAAATAGAATTCGAATTTATACTTAATTCTTGCTTCCGAGAGATGATGTCATAAGGATATTTTTTCTTTTTAATTTATAGCAAACGCCAATTATGATACCAATATATTGTCAATATATTTATTTTCTTTTAGCGCTCTTAAAATAATCGTCATTTCTTATATCATTGATGCATATGCCATAAAGGCGCTTTGTTTCTTAAAAAAAAATAATATATATAAAAGATCACTATTAATGCGATATTACAATGTATCATTTCTAGATTCTATTTTATTCGCTGCTTATTTTACGCGATATCGCGATATTTCACAGCACTTTGTATGTGACAAATTGAAACACTATTTTAGCTAAAAAGTCGGCTGATATTTGTTAGAAAATTAAACGTTATTTTCTGGTAATGAATAATCTATATGCTGAATGATGTCGCTATGTATTATGTACATTAATCTAACTGCAACAGCTTTGTGGCTTAGGATCCAGGCCTGAACGTTTGGTAATGAATATGCGCGTAAACTCCTCTGCTACTGTTGGATGAATTCCCACAGTGCCCTTCAATTTCGGAATTGTTAAGCCACATCTACGAAAATACGACAAAAGTATACATTATAACTTCGTAATGTAATTTTTTTTAAAGATAAACTTATGTGTATGTGTGTAGACTTAAATATTTACTTAATAGCAGCAGCAAATCCTTGAATCACTTCGCCCGCGTTGGGTCCGACAAAATGCATACCAAGCACCCTTTGATCACCATTTCTGAGTGCGACGACCTTCACATAACAATGATCGACTTCCTTCTGGGGAACGAAAAATTCCGTCGGTTTGTAATACGCGTGATAAATTTCTATCTCTTGCTCCCCATGAAGCATGGTCGCCGCTTCTTCGCTCAGTCCAACACATCCATATTCTAAAGGACTGAACACCGTCGTTGCGACATTTGTGTAATCCATTTGTTCAGTAGAATTACCGAACAGCCTTCTCGCTAATAGTTTGCCCGCATGTATAGCGACAGGTGTTAATTCGGGCTTTTTCTATAATAAACATTCGAAAATTAGATCATTTATATTAAAATCGTTTATATTTGTATTTGCGTTATATTTAGCTTATGTGTATGTCTATTTATTTATTAAAACGTTAAAAATATTTATCATTTATCTATTTAAAAATGTTTTTATATTCTGTTATAGAATGTCATGCAAAACTTACATGAAGTACATCGCCAACGGCGTAAATGTTTGGGACATTCGTTTGTTCATTAATTGCTTCAATCTTGTTACTTTCTGGAACAAGCTTCAACCCGGCATTCTCCGGTTTTAACTCTTCCGTAAGCGCTCGCCGGCCAATAGCAAATAAAACGGTGTCATATACATCTTGATGAATTTGGCCATCCTAAAAAAAATCCAAATTATATTACACGCTAATGCAAAAAAACTTATTTATTCTGATTTTTTTAATATAAATTTCTGCAAATTTGCACTCACCTTGTCGACCCAATCAACAAGAAGACGGCCATCCTCTTGCTTCGCAATTTTCTTAGGCTTTGCCTGATAGATGAAATGCACACCGCGTTGTTCCATCTCTTCAGCAATGAGGTTTGCCATTTGTTGATCAAATCCACGCAATACGATTGATCGAACCATTATTGTCGCGTCATAGCCTAAGCCATTAAGAAAACCAGCACACTCTAAGCCAATATCTATTTCATTATTAGAGAAAATATTAATATGTATTTGTGCATATAATTTTATTATAAATATCTAATGGAAGATCTGGTAACAAATCATATAAAATTTTGTTGAGAAAAAGGATACATCCAGCTCCAACAACAAGGGTCTTGCCCGGAGCACGATTTAAACTGAAGATATCATCACTACTTATGCCATACTCTAGAGCACCTGGAATATCAGGATATCTAGGTCTACCACCCACTGCGATTAATATGTTTTTAGCTGTAAGAATTTTCTCCTCCCCTTTCTTAGTGACTCCAACTACCGTGTGCGCATCCTTGAAATGTCCAAGAGCATTCACATATTCGACTTTTCTACATTAATGCAAATAATTTTAATTATAAATGTAAAAAAAAAATTAGATAACACAAGCATAGAGTAATTAACGAAATAATGAGATTATAGACAGAAAAATTAAAAAACGACTAACTTTGTTCTAAGTTCGACACGAGTGACCCAGTTAACAGACTTGACATGATTTTGTACAGCAGTTCTCAAGGCTTCCCAGTCGATTTTCACAGTCTTAGGATCAGGTAATTGCCAACCAAATTTTGCCGCCTCCTAATAATCACGAAATTCACATAGATCAGACAGAGGTTTTTTTTGATTTTGAATTACACTATTGCAATAATTTGAAACATTTATATACCTGAACAGCTTCACCGAGTAATGCGGCTTGATGCATTAACTTTTTTGGTATACATCCCACATTGACACAGGTACCACCTAAGCCCCAAGTGGTACCAAGGGGAGAAGGAGTCACGTAATCCAAAACTGCCACCTTTGCATCCAGTCCCACTGCTTCCTTAGCTGCTGCCAGGCCACCGGAGCCTCCACCAATGACCAAGAGATCATACATATAGCTCTGATCCGCTGAAAGAAGATGGCAATTATATACCACCATTATGTACGCAGGAAAGTTATTTTAACGGAACGAGTTCTTGAAGAAACATTCAGTGTCATCGTGAAAAACGAAAGAAACATTTCCCGCGAATAATATTACAAACAATTGTAAAGATGTTTCTGTCAAAGCTTTCGTGCATTTCTCTGAAACGTCACTCAAAAACCTTTCGAAAATGGCGCGCGAACCGGTAGCGCAACTTATTACATATGTAATGACATCGCAATTATTCTTTATCAGTAACTTAAACGCTCGTTTCACTCACTGCACATGCAAGCCATCGCGCTTCTACCGTAGACGAAGCCGTCGCACTTGACAAGCAACGGATGCGGTAACCCGAGCAATCTGGCGTGCGCGCCTCGAAATGACACGAGCCGCGTGAACACCGTCAGAGTCGCCATGATAATCGGTGACATGCGATTTACGATTGCGACACGTGACGTCAGTCGTTCGCGCCTCGCGCCGCGCCGACGAGAATAAAGGCACTGTAGCCGCGCGACGCGCTTTTTCCCGTCATCGTTTCCCGCGGGTGGTGGAAATGAAATCGATCCTAATCACCGGCTGCAACCGCGGTCTCGGTCTGGGCGTGGTGAAACATCTGGCCGAAAGATCCCCGCAACCGGACAATATCTTCGCGACATGCCGTGACGCGAGCAAGGCGACGGTAAGATTTGATGGGCGGCGTTCTCGTTTCTTCCATGTACGGTTACAATCGTCGGCGTATTTTATTTCATATATTATACAATTCTGAGGATCTCTCGTAAGTTACTTACCAATCGGCGCCATCGCGACTCTCTTTGCTCCTCGTGTGAAAGAACGTATTTCGTCCGCGAATGTAATCGACGAAATGTCAAAACGCGTTCGCGCTGTGTAACGGTCAAAAATACTGTTTAAAAAATCACTTGATTCAAGCGACGACTAAAATTGTACTGACACCGATGTATGTCTACCCGTCACCATAAGTCTTCATCACCTCCACCGCCATCTGTTATACGTGACCTTCTTTGAATCTTCCCCCTCCCTCACTCTTCCTCCTCTCTATCCTTTGTCGCAATTTTGTAATGAGTCAGCGGATGATGATGATAATGATGATTAACTTGCGATTGCGTTCGATTGCGATGGATATCGATAAACGTTACATAAGATCGGACCGGAATTTCCGAGATCGATTTCTTGTCTCGTCTCTCGCCCGCGGTTTCGTTGAATCGTTATCGAAATAATAGAAATATATGAGATATTTTTCACGCGACTTTGTTAAATTGAAATAAAAAGGAAAAAATAAGAAAAATGTTTACAGGAATTACGCACACTCGCCGACAAATCTTCGAACGTACATATTATCGAGATAGGTAAGTCGTTAACTTCGTTACCTATTATTTATTCGTTTCGTTTGACTACGCTATAATTTCAATCGCAACGGGAGAATATATAGTTATACCGTTATTATCTTTATTATTGCGATAACATTATATCAGAATGATTGCAACTAAATCTGATGAAAGCATTCATGGAAACATCTCGAAACTTCGATATTTATTCTCTGATTGTTAATTGTAATTAAAAATATAGGTTTTTTTTTTTTAAATAATAATAATATTTCTTTCGATAATATAATTTTTTAAATAATACTGTACAAATTGATTTGAATATAAAAGCATTTTATAATGTATGTCATACTCGTGCAGGAAATATCTTAAGAGTTTCAATTAGAGAATGCTGATATATCTTACTTAATATGGGAGTAATATTCCTCTGTCGATTTTCCACTTTAATTTCTACACCGTCCTTCACTTTATTCTCTGCTTTGTTATCCACTTTGTTTTCCTCGATTTCCCGGTCACTCGAATCAGAATCTATAGTTTGCGGTTTTTCGCGACATATCGAAAACCACGTTTTCGACTTGTTTGCTTTACGGGCCTTCATATCCACGCATTTACCCGAGAATGCTACGTCGAACGTCGCAAATATTCCTATTGTAAAAAAAAAAAAAATGATTTTTATCGGAGGTTTATTTATCGATTGACACATACTATCTGATATCATCTAGCTAATTTTCTGTTTGAGTAAGATCGATCTTTTTCCGCGCGATAAGAAAATCAATATTCATTGTTTATCAGCGCATTCTGCGATTGTTTCTTTTACAATGCGATTATGATAATTGTATAATTTTGAAAAATTGAATTCATGGGGAATATCCCTTATGTACATCACACCTGTTGTATATAATATTTTGTGGATCAATGTAAAATATTCAACGGGATAATAATATATATAAACCACAGTTTACTCCTTTTTCTTTCAGATTTGATGGACACGGATGGCTACAAGAGAATCGTAGATGTAGTCAGCGAAAAAGTAAATGGCGCCGGTCTCAACGTTCTTTTTAACAATGCTGGTATTTCCAGCAAATTTACACGTCTCGGTCTTGTGAAGAAGCAGCAAATTATAGATGCTTTTCTAGTCAATACCATTGCACCTATTATGTTCACAAAAGTATGCTAACGATACATATTATTCACTAATATTAAATACAATTAAAGTGCTCGGTTTATACATATATATAATAGCGACATTCGTATTATAATTGATTCAAGGCTTTCTTACCGCTACTGAAAGTGGCTGCGAAAAATGCCAAGGACAAAACAGAGTTAAGCATAAGAAGAGCAGCTGTCATCAATATGACTTCTATTTTAGGCAGCATTGCTGAAAATAACGACGGCGGTTTTTATCCTTACAGATGCAGTAAAGTAATTATTATTTTTGTAATTCATTAAGTTTCTCGTGAATTGTTTATAATTTTTGATTTAATATACTGCACGTACATCGTTATTTGCTTCCCGCCTATTATTTTGTCTAGAATATCATCTCATGTTATCTTGGTAAAATTTATATGCATTCAATAAAATTCGCGTGTGTACTTATCATAATCCATAAATCCTGTAATCTTTCAAAATTGAAAAAGTTATATTACTTTCAAATTAATATTGGCATATATTTCATATCGCGCGTCAAACACTTGAAACAAATTCTGCAAAGCAAATGTCTTATCTAATCTCATTCACACAGGCAGCGCTTAATGCGGCAACCAAATCGATGAGCATCGATCTGAAAACAGATGGGATTTTGGTAACATGTTTGCACCCTGGATGGGTACGCACTGACCTAGGTGGTAACAACGCTCCAATGGATATCGACACCAGCGTCAGTAGTATTCTAAATACCTTGAATTCGTTGACAGAAAGGCATACTGGTTGTTTTATTCAATACAATGGTAAAATACTACCCTGGTAATAATCTACCCTGGTGAAATAAAATATTTTTATACATAATATACTTTTATATATTATATAAAAAGATTTAAATAATTTAAATAATATTAAATATACATTCTACATTTTTTTGTAAAAGTTTGTCAAAATGAATAAAAATTTATCTCAAGATGGTCAAGTTTTAACTTAATATTTTTTACTAAATAACTGTAGGAAAAGTATTTTCACAAATATTAGATATTTTCTCGTATCTTTTTTATACTCTAACCGAAATATCTGCTATAAGAGTTAGTGTGAATATCTTTGTACAAAGTTTAAAAAACAAATGTATCACAACTTTTTCATAAACGATGTATAGTACGCACTGATCAAAAGGTCATTCAACTATTTTATTTGTATGAGTCCAAGCTTATTTTGTACATGTCACGGTGCTATAAGGCAAAGGAATGCAAATTCTTCTATAGTATTAATAGACAAAGAAAAAGTGATATTTGGTATATGTACAATGACTTTTCACAATTTTTCAAAAGCATAAATGTGTTTAGACATAAAATATACATGTACTTATGTGTTTTTACATCAGCAGTTAATTTATAGTAAAAATAATTCTAACACAACATACGAGTATCTTTTTGTTAAATACTCTCTGGTACAGCAATATATCATTATAGCCAGAAAAATAGAAATTTAAAAAAAAAACAAAAGAAAATATATAATACTTTAACATCGCTACAAATGTTGCAATTGCTGCAAATATACAATACGCTATTAATTTTTTTTCTGACTTTGAAGATTATTTTTGTAATCTTGCAATTTTTTGGAAAAATGATATAAAAACCCGAATTTTTGATAAATAGATTGAGCATTTCCCAGTTTTTATCTATCCAATTAAAGAATCATTATTTATAATTCCTAAATTCAATGGGAAAATTTGTAATAAATTCATATGTAAAAAAATAAACTTCATTATACATAATTCAGAATGTTCTATAAGATTAATATTATTTATATAATTATATACGTATATATATATATATATTATCTAGAATATTTTTCATACTAAATTTGGATGAAACAAAAACTTATCTTGCAATTCATCCATGTCAAGAGGTATGATTTAACTCAAAATTATCGAGTGCAAATTTACAAAAGAGTGATTCCTAAATATGTCAAACTTTATATGACAATGGTGATGATGATGATTATAGATCAAACATTAGTCAGTCTTTAACCTCTTAGGTGCAGATTCGCTATTTTGTGAATTGGAGTCCTCCGAGAAACCCAAATGTGCAGAAAAATCTGTCAGTCCTTGGGAATCGCTAACAGTGGAAAAACCTAATATGTCGAAAAAAATCATTGTTTCATTATATAATCAGCAATAATAAATTATCCTTTTAAATTATCATTAAAACTAAACTCACATGTATTGGAATCTTCTGTGAGTCCGAAATTAGAATTTGATGAATCTATTCCTCCTTTTCTTGGTAAACCATTCTCCTTATCGGAACCGGTTTTACTTTTTTTCTTCTGCAAAATAAAACATTTACTCTTAAGCAATCATTTGCTTTTATTATCATTTTACTCTTAGCTTAAATTATTTTCTTATATACCTGATCAAGAGTCGAAATTGGAACCCATTTATATATTTTCATAGTTGTCTCTCCTATAGTAACCCATTTTTTTTCCCTGCGGTATACATTCAGGATTCTAATTAACTGTTCATTTTAAATGAATAATAATATTAACAAAAGATGAAAGAAAAAAACATTGGTTATTTTTCATAACGAGACAATATATATTATTATACATTTGTTCTTGTATAATGACAAATAATTTAGCCATCCAATTAAATAAAGTAGCAAAGAAATATTATATTGTACATATGTAGAGAGATATGTGTTAAAAGTTGTAATGTATGAAATAATGTAAAATAAACTGCCATTATATAATATAGTAATCAATATCTGTTTTCAGGAAATGAAACGCTCTTATTAAGATACAAATGACAGACGCAAGAATCGGCAATTCTTTTTCTCCGAAACTACAGCTCCGAGAAACACTTACCAGTGACGAACTTTATCAACTACTTGCATCACGCGTTTAATGTCATCCTTGGCACGACTACGGGTCTCTGCGCGCACTGACCGCGACATCATATTATTGTTTCTCGTGCGACTAAATCACCGGTAATCGATTATTGCACCAATCACTGCACCAAAAACACCGGGACATCCGTGAAACACGAGTGATGTGGATAGGTTAGAAAAGTGACAGGAAGCTATACGAATACCGATTGCTTCTTGCGGGGAATCGTATAGTTACATTTATAACTTGAGAGAGAAGGAGACAAAAGATAATACGTTTGTCCTCTTCTACCGACGCTAGCCGAAGCTGGCCGAAGCTGGCCGAAGCTTGCCGAGTGACGTGCGCATGCGCACACGGACGTGGGCGGTTGAGCGCAAATCCTCACCTTCACAGCTCCACACGCTGGATACAACGATGATTGGACGCGTTCAGCAGAACAAACCGCTTAGTAGCAATACATTGTGATTGGCTCTTACTTTTAGAGCCAACAAATCAACGTCGAGTGTTGACAAGACGATCTCTATCAACACCTATATCTATTGTTGCTGTACCTTAACCTATATCTAACCTATTCTCTATACACGACGAATGCTCTCTTGCGTGTTTGGCACGTGTTCAGCAAATGATGAGCGGTTTTATTTTTATGTAGAATCTCTCTAATGAAAAGCGTACGACTAAGAAATTCTGATAAATATGAGCAAACCGGAGGAAGGAAAAGTAAATCATGAAAATGACTGGATGGTACTTTATTACTCTTTTTTTCTGCGTATCATCTTTTTATCGAATATCTTATCAATTTTATACTCTTTTGTTAGGTTAGACCATGTATGATATACAAAGCCGAGTACGACGATTGTACCAGTATAAGAGCTCGTTTCAATCAATATTTTATATTTGGCGAAATGCTCGATTGCAGTCAATGGAAGACCGATTATCGCAACTGTTATGAATGGGAAAAAAATAAATCGGAAGAAGCATACGTATGTGCTGATTTACTCTATAATTTTTTTAATATATCACAGAATAATATATCAGGCCCGATTGCACCAGTGTTATTTTGACTTTAAACGAGCCTTAAAACTTTTGGCAACAAAAACAATGTTATTTGGCTTTAGACTATAATTTAATCGTTGATTAACTTATAGTTGAAAGCCAAATAACATTGGTTATTGCCAAAAGTTTTAAATCTCGCTTAAAGCCAAAATAACATTAACCGGGCCTTAATACATAATACACAATTATTTATATATCATTATAATATTTAATATACCACAAAATAATGTTCTGGGAAATCACAGAACGAGCTGATCGCGAGCGAGAAGCAGCGTAGGAAAGAGCGTTTACGTCCGCATTATCAGAACGATGTCTGGGAGAGAAGGGAGAAACCACCGGAGAACTGGAACGCTCCTCTACCTGAGTGGATGCAGAAGAAGTTTGAAAACTCGTACCTGCATCTAAGAAATCAAGAGATGAAAGAGGGCAAGGAAATTTCCCAGCTCAATTCGAGATGCACTATATTATAACGATAAGATATTCGATTTGATCTTTAAGATTAAGTAGCGTGTACATATATGTACATATGTATTTATTACATAAACCCAATTACATGTATGCAATGATATATGTATATGTGTATATTGAGTTTTTCAGTGTTCTCATAAGAACTATCGTTGATGTTACGTTGGAGTTAACTTTATCAAGAGATGTGCAACCGAAAGAAGAATGAGAACAATACTGAAAAGAAACGATTGCAAAAGCACCTTCGCGTATGTCAAAATGTTGAATTATTTTATCGCCTCAAGGAATGGAAGACGGAAAATTGATATAAATTCTCATATCATTTTCTTTCAGTATTTACTATTCATTTCTGAACATAGTATTTCATCCAATGAACGGAAATCCAAGAAGGAAATACATAATAATATTATTCATTTCCCGCGAAATAATTCTTATCGCGATGAAACACGAACGCAGCTGCGGATCGAGGCGCGTCAGTAAATTCTGCGCATGCGCGATGAAATTTGTTTCCTTCACACGAAACGACGAAACCACCGACCACAAGTGAATGCAACGTCTCGTAAGGTCACCGATGTCGAGCATGCGCAATCGCACACCGACTGGTAATCTCATAGTGTATCTTATTTTTCCGTCACGATCTCTCACAAAAAAAAAATCTACGCTGATGTGGACAATCTAATAAAAAGAGGAGATCGACGCGCGAAGAAAACGGAAGGGACGGTTGACGTTTCGAACGCGTCGCGGCGCGCGCGTCCATCCCTGCTCCACTTCACACCCTTTCTCACGTTCCATCGGAACACTGCTCGTTCCTTCCTAAGTACCGTGCGTACATACGTACGCAGCGCGTGTGTCCGTAGTGATTGTCCGCGTACGAGACGCCGCAGTGAATGAATGACGTAATATCTGTATACGGATATCGGACGGACATAATCGTTGAAGTAAGACAGTAGTAAGCGGGAACGAGCCTGAATCGGGTCCTCCTTTGCATCCACACTCTTATTACGCGTCTCGGAGCATTGTGCGCGCGCCGCGCGTTTTTCGCGGCACGTGCAGCGCGTAGCAGTGCGACACGCAATGGCCACGGACTGCGTGGTTGACGGTGATTACCTGGGTGCGTACTCGCGCTTCTTCGCGGAGTTCGTCGCCCGGGTGAATCCGAACGATCAGCTGCCCGTGAAGGTGAGCGCTTACGACGTCGACGAGAGCGAGCTGGTCGGTGAGGTCATCAGCGTGACTCTACAGTACCTCAATAAAACGTAAGCGTACAAATTATTTAGTTTTTGTTCAAATTGTCGCGTAGGCGAGATATGATGTTCGTCGTATATATGTATGTATGTGTTTGACATTCTACCGAATGCCCGCGGCTTCGAGTTTATCGCGTAAGCGCGAGACTCGACGCTTTCGAAATCGTATCGCGAGCTATTTGTAGG